AACGACATCTACTCGTGCCATTTGTAAAACTATACTACTATTATCACCATCGTGACAACCATCGGGATAACCATCGTGATATAACCACACCTCCTGGAGAGGAGAAGAAATGCTGCAAGCCTCCATCTCATGTACAAGATCCAAAACAACACAGTAGCCATCAATGCACACCATTACACAGCACCCATGATTGCAAGCAACACACGACAGTATCCCTCAAAGAAGTTGCTGGCTATCCCATCCCGCACCCAACTCTACCAGAACTTATATTTCCCTCGGACAGTAACTGCGTGGAATGCACTTTCGAAGATCACCCTTGACGCTACTTCACTGGAGGGCTTCAAGGGAGCGCTTCCACCCAGCATCTAGACCAAGAACTAGATAGTTTATTCCTCAACACTACATCCTGACTTATGGATCCTGCCGAGTATCGTCGTAGAAGTAGAAGAAGTGTTAGAAATAGCAACTCCTTATACGAGTCCTATCATCCCTTCCACGAATCATCACTCCTGCTACTATTCCTACCCACAATGATCACCACCACCAAAATAAACACACAGTACTACAATCATGACATATACGACGGATAGCCGACCTGTTCGAAAAGTCGAGCCACTCCGCTATAGTTCTCCTTAGAACTATAAGCTAAGAAAGATAACCAACAGTCTTTTTCAGGACTACAAACCCTCAAGAAAGATTACCGAGAGTCCCTTTCAGGACTCCTCAATCCTCCCTCTCTCTCACATGGTGCACCCGCAAGCCTACTGTATATATATGACTTTCGTCTCACATTAATAAACATGATCGCAGAGACTTTCAGAAATTCAATTTAAGGCAATTAATTCCAATACTATCAAAATGTGTGCACATAATAATGCAATCAAGTGCTCAACACCAACTATTGTAAAAGGTGGTCCGGAATGAACTATTTACAATCTGTATGCATGAGCTTATGTAAAAATTGAATTTTTAATTATCTTCTTTTTATAGTGGCGATAGACCAAGCTTTTTGGTGCCCATGTGCCCTAGGTGCACGTTAATTTTACCTTTATTTGGATACGGACCCCCTCCCCTGGTGCTCAAGGGGGGGGGGGCGGATTTTAACATTTTCGAAGGTAAAAAAAAGAAGAAAGTGCTCACTATCCCCCCCCCCCCACTGAGCCCATTTTTGCAAATTTTCGGTGGCCAAAAAAAAAAATTATTGCTCCTTCCCCCCGCCCCCCCCCCCCCCCTGGTGTCTATCCATTTCTAATCTGAACATGATTTATGAAGGTAATACAAAAGAGTATTTAATTTACATTTCATCAGTCTATGTGATCGTGTTTTTTTATAAAGAACAACCACACCATCAACAAAATAATACAAGTCCTCACAACATAGCTTGACCTCAAAGCACAGTGTATTACATGTAATATACCTTGCTGCTTTTATATAACGATTTGATAAAGACACATAATCAGCTTTCAAACTCTCCCAGAGCAAAAAAGTGGTTTACAAATATAATGTATACATAGTCCTCTATGATTTATTTTGTACACGAAACTTCTTCAATAAAGTGTTCTAGGTTAGTACTAAGTAAGCAAAAGGAGAAAAATGTGCACTTGCTATAAACATTGATTTAATGACATTTTGTTGTCTTTTCTTTGGAGAAGCAGTTTGACCATTTCTACAATAGCAATTAATTCTTAGTTTGTAGAGTTCCTAACACAGATTTCACAAATAAAATCAGTGAAAAGAAATGAGGAAAGAGCTAACCTTGCATTGTTCTGTATCTGAAATACACTGTAGTTTTAAATACAACCCATTCGTAAAAGAATGAGTTTAAATACAAATCGTTATATTAACGGAGTCTATACAATCAAACAAGATTATTACAAGCAAGAAATATTGTCATGAAATTCCTTGAACATTCTGTCTAATAAAGGACGGTATACATGGACATGCAAATGTATGATAAATATTACAGCAACACATACAACTAGAGGGTCAGAGAATAAAGAATAGAAACAAATAGACAACATGCTAACTTGAAATGTATTAACTACTTTAAGTACATAACTATTATGATTATCCAGCAATAGGCCATTTTTGTAATGTATTCAATTTAATTGCCTTGATATCAGTCAGACCGCAGCGTGCGCGATAATGAGGCTGTGCGGTAATTTTTACTCAGATTCCCGTTCGGTGAAAAGCTCGCTAAATCATGCAATTCACCTGTTACAAATAATTGTATTTCAATAGTACGGATACAAATTGCATGCAATACGTGTTGTGTTCTTAGGCCGGGCAGGTCATGCTTTTTCTGTCTAAGCAACAACTACTTCATGCAATTTCTATTCCGACTATTGAGATACGATGATAAAGTACAGGTGAATGCGATTGCTTGTCGCTAGGTCAACACGCATAAATATCAATACATTCACAAAATAGTCTATTCCACAAATATATTTTTCGTAGAAAGGGACAGAATTTTGCAATACTAGCTGACAAAGTCACTTTAAAATTCTTAGTTTTATTACAAACTGAATTATCCTCAAACTGAAGATGATTAATTCCTTATATTTTGTAATCATACATAAATCACAATAACTGACATGCACTGTGGGTTGTGCAGGACTAACGGTTCCACTTTTACATGCTAAAAGTAATTCTACGACACTGTACCAACATAGATATATGTTCTTGGAACTTCTATTGCATACTAATCTATTTGTTTAGGGTGCATATGTGACTGTAAAACAAGTAGATACATAAAAATAACATATTTGGACACTTGATTTCATTATTTTTCCATAATTCAGTGATATAGATTTCTTTCATTGATATAAAGATAGGAAGACAAGATATAATCTGACTAGCACAGAATGTTATCCAAAAGGAAAAAATACAATTATAGAGATTTTTTACAGCAAGTTTTGCAGTGACAGTGTTAGCATTTGATAGTGCCTCGATTCTCAATCGATAATTCCATTTATATTATTAGCAAGCTGTGTGATTACATGAGTGGCAAATGTTATTAAGAACACCAATGAAATTTGAGTATTGAGTTGAAGTCTTCAATTTAGTAGATTTTACATAGCTTTCATAGCTTAACAAAATAGTATCTTTTCAAGAACGTTTTGAAATTGACCTTGCATAAAATGACACTCTGCAGTATAGCAAATCATAATTCAAAACTTTATGAACAGTTTTGTGAATACATAAGATAGTGGAGGAAAAAGACAGAGGTAGAGAGAGGGAGAGAGAGAGAGAGAGAGAGAGAAAACAAAAACAGGTTTAAACCCTAATACAACTTATTACAAAAGTGCAGCTATAATGCAGCATAATAACATAACAAGAAATTTGTTTAATACATGTATGGCTTACTACACAATGTATTTGTTCAATTGAATTGTAAATATAAAAACATTGATATCCCATTATTTCCTGTAATTTTCTTACTTATTTTGAAAAAAATTTGTACTCGTAAGGGAGATGGGGTGGCAATGGTATTCATTCAAACATTTTTCATTTAGGTCATGTAGTGAAGTAAACATTCCCATTTCAATATGTGTGTTTATGATGTTATGTGAGAGCCTTTGTTTTTCTACAAGTGAATATTTCATTGTCAATTTGTTCTGAAGATTGGGAAACGTCAGATGAATTCATTCATCAAAAACAGACAAAAATTGAACAAAGATGACATTTCGTTCTTAATCTAATCTAACGTAATTGATAGTGATTGATTTTGAAATCGAAAAAACAACTGCCTTCTTTGAAACCAGTCGACTGGTAATTTTACAATTCACAATATAGTATCCACACTAAAAATGCTATATGAATTGTTGCTTCTATGTCAAACTGCAGAGCAAATATTACACTTCATTTTGTAATTACAGTATTTTCTTTCTTTTGAGGTTTAAAAAACAACACAATTTCACTTCATCTGACTCTTTGACTTTTACATACCCCGAAACAGCCCTGAGAGAACAATGACGACAAAACAAAACAAAAAATCTTTTTCTTGTATGAATCTCAGCCATAGCATTTTTCACAAGTTTGAAGAAAAAAAGTTTGAAAACTGTACACATTTGTAGGCCAAAAACACATGTCCTGAAAACAATGAGAGATGGGCGAGTAAGAGCACTGGATTAGAAAAAATATTATTTATATACAACCAAGTCGGTTTATCAAGAGATGTACATGCACCAGCTTTTGAAGCACTCATAATATTAACAGAAACAACACTTAATTCATGAACACAAAAATAACCTGTGGAAGGAAAAATGATGACAATAATGGTAAGCGTTTCTAAATCTTGTTTTTGCATAACTCCTAAAAAATGTTGGTAGTGTAAATAATGTTTTTAATGTGGATTGAATTAGAGGGAAAGTGACATATATCCAGTATTTTAAGAGCCAACTTTCTCCGCTAATGCAAGGCATTTCCATTCATTGGGCCGTTAGATATGTTTTCATTTAATTCAGTAGAGCACAAAAAAGGTAACTACACAAAATCTCAAAACTTTACTGAAACCATGAATTGTAAAACATTTTTTGTGTGCAACATTTCATTGCTAGTCCAAACCAAGATTTATGTACAAGCACAAGTCGGTCATTTTGACTCATTTTTTTACCCTTCGGCTGCTTTATTCTCTGCATGGTCACTTGTTAACCACCAGTGCTGTTTCGCATAAAATGATAGGCACCACTTGATTGCTTTGTGCTTCATAACAGCTTTGCAAAAACTACCAAATTCTGTTATTGAGTAGCTCCTTGACACCACTCGGTTTGACAGTGCTCCTTATAGAGTAATTTTGCACCGGAAACCGTTAACTAATCCTGAAACCTTTAGTATCTAACCCATGATGAATACAATGTGGCACAGGGAGATTATTTGTGTGGCGTAAAACAAGTTTTTAAACAGTTGGCTGTGTATATATATATAGGCATATAGTTCATTGATGTAGTAGTTTTCTAAATTTATTTAAACCAATTATTGATAGTGCAAGTCTCACTGTAATACCAATCGGCTAGAAGTATGAAAAGATTAATCATCATTTTCCTAAGCTGCAACAGTTTTGATTAACATATGATAGAGGGAAATTGGTAATTGGTAAAACAATTCATTTAACTAATTACAAGACCTAGTACATTGTAGCTGCATACTGAATCAATGTTAGTTGTGTTGGAAGTATTCTTATTACTGATATTACAAAACCTTTTCTTTTAAATATGGCATTAATAGCATCTTCACAAGTTTACAACAAATTCTCTTTCTAATCTTAATACTATACAAAACAGTGCTGTAAATGAAAACCATATGCACACAGAGCAAAAGATTTTTTTAAATAAAAACTTCCCTATCTAAACCCTTCACAACTCTTCCGAGAAAAAAAAATTGCAGGTTGAAATACATAATATAAGTTTATTTTGCAAGTTACAATACTAAACATAATCTTTGGTAACTGAAAATTTAGTCCTATTCTATAAGCACATGTTAATTAACAAGTAAAAACAAAACAAACTAAACTGTATTGCCTTTCAAAACATACGCAGAGAGGAGATGTAGGTATAGTTTCTTCCTCAGAGATCTGACCCAACACTTCTACCAAGTCAGTATTTCGATAACAGAATGATACACTTTGGGGATTTATGAGTCTTGGAAGTTTGCAGTTCAGTTTTCAATCGATAAAGTACATCCTTTATTTTGCTTTGCAATTTGTCTCATTTTGTATATATTCATGTGCTCATTTTTAATTTTGTTTGCACCTTGAGCATATAAGTCATGTGGAGTTGGCGCATTATAAATACTCTGTATCACTATTATTTTTTTTAATTCTTACTTTCTTTAAACTCACTTTGGGTGTAGTATAAGTGGGCTATGCATGAAACTCTGTTCTTAGCAAGACAGATTATGACCTTGATTTTTTTTTATCACATAGGCTTAACCAATGGCCTACAAGTACAGTGTGATTCCTATACTAAGCATATGAGAAAGAGACGATTCAGTAGACTGAGGGTTAATGCATGTGCCATCTGGTTTCTGTATTCCAGTTTGAAACAAATCCATGTTCATTGCGCTTGTATGGTCCACACTTTTTTTTGAGCTGCACATGATTAGGCAAGATATTTGATCAGTGACTATGTTAAATCATCTTCTTTTTGGAAATAGTCACGAAATACTGTACATATACTTCTAAAAGAAAAGAAAATGTCGGAAGCATGAATTCATGTAGGTGGGACTACAGATGGTCTTCAAGTGGGATTCCATAATGTTTTAAATTTGTAATTTTTTACCAAGAAGCTTTGTGATTTACTGCTAAATATCTTTCAAGACCAAATATTGTTTAACATTTCTTGCTGTCTGCAATTTCAATAAGCAATATTCAAGTGCTTGAAGTCCGAAGGAACCAGAAGGGTTACCTATATACTGTATGCAATGAAGAAAGATGTGTACACACAGTACAACTCTACAAAACATATTAACAGAAAATCAAATCCAGACAAAAGTTTATCATACATGTACAATTTAGGCCTCCAGTATTACCATTCTCCACACAAACATGTCCATGTACTTTGTTTCTAATTTCTTCTGAAACACGATTGTCCAACATTTATCGCAAAAACAGGCATCACATTCATGGAGAAAGGTGGAAAATTGTTGGTCAAAATCAGCAATCTAGAGGGGAAAAAGAACGTCAGAAGATTTCCTCAAAGTTTTTCAAATGATTTCTCTACCAATATGAGCCAGAATAATCTGTGATCCTCTAGAATAGCGAGAGGAAAAAAAATTTAAGCGCAAGCATTCTTTTAATTCTAGAGCTGGTGATTTTCACTTTCAACTGACAAGCATTTGCAATTCTTTTAATTTAGCTAGTGTTCCTTTGGTCAACTGGCTGGCTGACAGCAAACTACTCTTTATTTTTGTATATGCTTACAATTTTGCATTAAACCAAACTATATAATCATGATTTTATAACCTCAAATTTTTACTTGACAAAAGTACAAAAAATTCTTCGTTACGGTTAATTCACAAAATATGATAGTATATTCAGTCTTTTATAATAAATATAAATGAAACTTTTTGATTTCATTTACTGCATCAAATACACTCCCTCTCTGTAGCACAAGGCCGAGTAGATTTATTTTCTTTTAAGTCACTATACGTCTTTCAACCGCTCTCCCCTCGTCACACTTGTTTCAGTGCAAACAGTTCAACATAGAAATATTTGTAATTAAATTTCTTACGCAGTAACAATACCATGCCCACTTACATACAAGTTGAGAATTTCATCTCTTAAAATGCATTCATTTGTACACATTTAGCCTCATTTCATGTACCTGAACTTCAGATTGTGGTTGGAAGAAAACAAGTTGCATATTCAACTTAAAATTAAATTTCATGCATATGTATTGTTGACATTAGGATGTAGTTCCCCTCAAACATAATTCGCGCTTGACCATAATTCACAGACAATTCTGTACCTCTAAAAAAATAAGTGAGATTTTGACAATCTGATATCACCAATGAAAAAAGGAACATAAAATTACTTAGTGACAACATTTTAGTTGGAGTTAGGTGTGAAATTATGAGAATATTGATAAAAGATCTGCAATATTTCAGTCTTTTGGGTCGTTTTGAGAAAAATGTGAACTTACATGTACCGACAAGGGTCTGCAAATCTTCATTTTGAGAGAATATGTCATCAAAGTTGTAAGTAAAAAGTGATAACAATTAATTGTATGATATTTTTACTTGCAATTGCATGGCTTTTTCATCAGTTGTAGCGCATTTAAGAACGTAATATCACTATAATTCTTTTGACAATTATTTTTCTAGTTTCACCCATTTGTGCGTTTTCAGAGTTGTCGCTAAATTGCAGGGGGGGGGGATGCAGTATTGAGTTACATGTAGTAACACTTTTTACTTGTATGTTCACAATGTATTACTAATCTAATATATAAAAATTTGGTTAGATCTTCAGTCTTACCATATACAAATTTTGATAACATTTTGTTAATTAATTTGACATTCAATGCAAGCCGCATATTAAGTATCCATCACCATAACAGCACCCGATGGTTTAATATCAACTATATTATCATCACAATTTCACTTTCATTTTCATTACAAATTACTCAGAAGCAGAAGGGCTTTAAATCTGAATCAAGTGATGAGGGGTTAATGACCTTCTGGCTCTAAGCAGATATCATAATAATTAGGTCTGGAGCTTGATTTATAACTTTTTATCGCCTTAGTCGGCAATCTCTGTTCACACACAAACGTATACCTGTTGACTCCTGAATTTCTCTCATTGCCATAGGCTTAATACACAAACCACCCGGTTTCTGGAGGCAATGGGTCAACAGTTGAGCTCAAACTTAACTGTTTACCTTGATTCAGTAACTAGAAATAAAGATCAAGAAATTGATTGAATGACATAAATATCACCTCATAAGTGACCATTGCAATCAAAGACAAAGAACTAATCATTAGTTAATGTTGCAATCAATGACTAGTCATCAATTAGTCATAAGACATTTTTTTTGCAATCAGTGACTACCGGTAGTCATTGATTAGTGATTTGTATGTTATTACCGTCATTGCAATCAAAAACAAAGAATCAATCATTAGTCAATGTTGCAATCAATGACTAGTCATCAATTAGTCATAAGTCATTTTTGCAATCAGTGACTACCGGTAGTCATTGATTAGTGATTTGTCTGTTATTACCATCATTGCAATCAAAGACAAAGAATCAATCATTAGTCAATGTTGCAATCAATGACTAGTCATCAATTAGTTAGAAGTCATTTTTGCAATCAGTGACTACCGGTAGTCATTGATTAGTGATTTGTCTGTTATTATCAACATTGCAATCAAAGACAAAGGATCAATTATTAGTCAATGTTGCAATCAATGACTAGTCATCAATTAGTCATAAGTCATTTTTTGCAATCAGTGACTACCGGTAGTCATTGATCAGTCATTTGTCTGTTATTACCATCATTGCAATAAAAAACATACTAAAATCACTAATTAGTCATTAGTCATTGTTGCAATCTGACTACCTGTAGTCACTCGTTAGTCTTTAGTCACTGTTGCAATTAGATAATAGTCAATCATTGTCAGTATTGCAATTAGTGACTATTCAGCAGTAATCATAATTGCAAACAGAAACAAGTCAATGTAACAATGAGTGACTAAAAAAAAAAACAGTGACTAATCCTTGCACCGACTACCCGGTATACATTTCTTTCAGCTTTAACAATACCAATTTTGACATTTAAAGGCTCGATTGGAGGATCAATCTAGCTTTTTGTTGCATTGTTCTCTGCAGCTGCGGTGGCATCAACGTTGACAGGCGTGATGCTGTTGCTATCCACTGCAGCAGCCGCTATGGCCGGGTCACTCATGACTTCAGTGATGCGACCCATGATGTTGTCGAAGCTGTCCGACCCCCTGTAGTCGATCTGTCCTCTCTCCCAGGCGTGCTGGTCCGACCTGGGGGATGGGGGCCCTCTCGGTTGGCCAGCTGCCCCCTGGTTTTCCTCAAGCACGAGGTCTCCCAATGCGTTTGCTAGGTCTGTGCCCTGTAGGAAATACATTGATGAAAAAAAAGACAGTTTTAATAACTCAGGGGTGATAGTGAGCACTAAAAACAGTTTTTTGTTTTCCCCTCAACCACGCCCCCCTTGGGTACAAAAAGAAGAAGAGGATTCGCGGGGAAAAAATGGCATCTAACAACATTCCCACCTTTCGAGTAAGAAAATTGGGGGGAAAATAGGGAAAAATAGGGAAAAATAGGGAAAAATAGGGAAGAATGGAGAAAATAAGGGGGAAATCTGGAAGATCAGGATAAAATAGGGAAGGAAAAAAAAAAAAAAAAATCTGGATTTTTTAATTTTTTGTTTAAATCGGGAGGAAAAAAAAATCGGGAAAAAATAAAAAAATTGGGAAACCGATTTAAATCGGGTTTTTATCAGGCCTGATAACTATAAATAAATGTTGGTACATGATAGGCGAAGAAACTGGGAAATGTGCTAATAATCATCGTCAGTCTGAAAGGGAAAACAAAAAATACAATTTCAAAAAGTAGTTAAGAAGGCAAGTGTCTCCCCACAATATTTTTTCCCCCTCTTTTTTGCTTATCTTTTTTTTTGGGGGGGGGGGGGGGGGAGGGGGAGGGGAGGTGGGTCCTTTGCCCATGGGCCATTTGTGCAAAGGCTATCTAACATTTTGCAGAAAACTGCACCGATTTGATTTTGCGGCACACCCCTTTCTTCCACCCCCCCCCCCCCCCCAAAAAAAAGAGGAAAAATCTCAAACAGTATCTTTACATGTGAAAGCAAGTAGCATTTCATACTCCATTGATTGATAAGAGGGTATCCTTGTACTTTAGCTTTCAGACCATTCTTTTACAAAACCCTTCAGAAAAAGGATTGAAGCTGGTGTTATATCCTGGTCACACTTGAAAAGGCGAAAATTCAAATCGTGATCTTTACATTACCAACTCTGAAGAAAAAAAAGGTAGAAAGCAGACCACCACCAACCAACAACAATAAATGAATCAATCAAATAAAGATCATTGATATACAATGTATATTATCTGGAAAAATTTGTTATAAAGGTCCAAGAATACTATCTATCAAATAGAATGGGCTTAATCTAGAAAACAAGGTTAATAGTATATCGCACATAATTATATTCATGTGGTATGTTAATTCAGCTATTCCTGGAAAGAAAGAGGTAAAAGAGAGATCATATGTCAGTAAAGAAGGGGAATCCCAGCAATATCATAATTATCAACATTGAATGCTTATATGAGAAGAACTCTTCTAACAAGAATAACCAAACTAATGAGGAAGGTCAAGAAACTCAACAAGAGAGGGGACCAAAAGAGAAACCATCTTCCAATTTGTGTGCTATTTGGTGGAAACTAGATAAAGAGGAAGAAGAGATTAAATGTAAATAACACACAAGAGATTAAATAGGTGAAATATTAAACTGTATATTCAGGTTTATGATCATTAAGGTTCTTTTCTATGACACATGCTTCAGCGACAATTGCTTCATGGTCGATATCCTATCAACTGACTTACTTCTGTAAAGATAAAGACCAGTTATGGTCATGCGATTGCATTGTGAAAGAAATGTTGTGGAATTGATCAGAAAAGGTTGATCATCTAGCATATAAGTATTAGTGTGTACTGCAAGGTTCTGGAATGATCAAAATGATAATATTTGGCCCAGTCTTGGTAAAGTTACAAGCACTGTACACAGAAAGATGTATATGGGACTATGTGACACATGCGCGATATCAATCAGGTCCAAATAGGCGGTTTCTTGGCAAAATTTGTATCATCATGTATTAGTTAAAACATATTCTTTCACATGATTGGTAATAAGAGCTTCCATTTCATTTTTTGAGATGGGGGCGTTTCCAAAACTGGTCTTTACCTTTAACCCTAGACCAAAAACCTAATCCTAACCTTGAACCCAACTACAACCCAAAAAAGCGACCACAACCGAAACCCTTAAATTTGATGAAATAAACCTCAGAAAACTTGTCACCAATAACCTTAAAAATGTGGGGACCCAGCATTAAACAAAATTTATAATAGAATACTCATACACAAGAATGTAATGGGGTTAACCTAGGACATAAAATTTAGTACACACAACAAAAAAATGTTAAGAACACCAGAGCTTTTGAAATACCATGAAGAGAAGTTGTCGGTTACCGGTATATATAATTTTAAGAACAAACACAAGAAAAAAAAACTTTAATATTACTTACACTTTTACCATCTGGAAAATTTACATGCTAAACATGAGTCAAAGGATGCATGGATATTCACAACAAAGGGAAACAAAATATACAAATTTAAATTGAATGGGCAAATCAAAACAGTAATAGAATTCACAAAAGATAATTGACATTTGTTTTGAAGAAAATATTTTAAAAATTTCAGTCCTGCTTACACAAGATTGCGAGTCCTGCATTGCAAAAACTAATAAAAACCAACCTGGGCTCATATTCAAAACACCTTAATTGACACTATGAACATGACTGACAAAGAAAGCGGACAAAATATATAGTTCCTCAGGTAGACAAAGGAACATCCCTTCAGTGGTATTATGTAAAAAGTGAATATGCATGTGACACCTGTTCTACACATTTTTTACATAATAGCAGTGAAGGGATGTTCCTTTGTCTACCTGAGGAACTGTATATTTTGTCCGCTTTCTTTGTTAGTTAGTCATATTCATAGTGTGAGCATAGTTGACACTTCGTAGTATAGCGGATGTAATTTGTTGACAACTAACCAAGTAAGGTTTTACGAATATCGGCCTTGGAGTAGAACTGACTTTTTTATAACATTCGTTTTCATAGACTTCAACCAAAGTTCTCTCAGGCTTTAGCAAGTTAACAATATTTTATCAACATATCTGGATATTCTATAATCAATCGTTTTGATGTTTAATGTTTACATTTATTTTTTATCTTACACATTAAATATTGGAAACATTACATTACTAGTCTTCGGAGTACAATCGTGTATCACAATATAAACATTTGTTTATATTAATAAAACTCAAAAACTCTAAAATGTGATCTGAAACAAACATATTTCAACAAAAAATAGTCAGTTCCTGTAGGAATAAAAATCCCTTCCAAGAAAAATAAATAAAAGGAAAAATGTGCAAAACCACAAAAATGAAAGTTTGATAGATCATTTGAAAAATTACCTATGAAGGCAGATATTGTAAAAATTCAATGTGTACAACAACATTGTATTCAGCCTCTTAAAAACATTCCAGGTATCAAATGGGTACCCGGTAGGATGCGGCCGTCATTGTTGGCCAAACAGTTTTGAGCGTCAAGTAAAGCCTGGCTAGAATGCTCCCCAAAGAGTGGAGATCGTGCACACAGTGTGTGCGGGCAAGCACTGAATCCAATGACCAGGGTATTTGTAAAGCGCTTAGAGACATTTGTATTAAGTACTATATAAAAATTAAATATTATTTTTATTATATTACATCTTTCGTACCTGAATATGTCTTGAAAATAATGACATCTGCGGGGTGTGATTAAGGAAACGGATAATGCAGTCATATTTTTGCAGCTTTAGACTAATACTCATAGAGAAGAACATCCTTGTATGGATTACAATCCTGTCTTACTGTATGTCGAGAGCACATGTACTGTACTGCATGCATAGACACCCTTCTGGTTCTCAACAGAGAGTGCCACTAGCCTGGATAACGCTTGTGAGACCAACAGCGCAAGAGATCAGCAGCCAACGAGACTGATGGCCAAAGAGACTAAAAACCACGTGACTGATGGCCCACGAGATCAACAGCCAACTAGACCAAAAGCCCACAAGACAGACGGCCCACAAGACTGACGGCCAACGAGACTGAAAGGCCAACGAGACTGAAAGCCCACAAGACTGATGGCCCGCGAGATTCACAGCCAACTAGACCAACAGACCACAAGACCGACAACCCACTAGACCAAAAGCCCACTAGACCAAAAGCCCACTAGACCAAAAGACCATGAGACCGAAAGCCCACTAAAACAAAAGCCCACTAAAACAAAAGCCCACTAGACCAACAGACCACGAGACCGAAAGCCCACTAGACCACAAGCCCACTAGATCAACATTCTTGCATTGAATCAGTCAAACCCTTCAAACACAAATCCTTTTCCCAGCCTGCACCAAAATCAATCAATATATCTACAAGTATGGAATTCTAAAAATTTATTTCAAATCATTTCAAATGTCTCTTTTCGGTTAACCTACCACTGATTGTGTCTGACCCTCCGCCACCTGTCCCAGTGGCCTGGGGTCAACAACAGGGGGCGCTGTCATATCTTCTGCTCGGCCTTGTTCTCTGTTAGTCCTGTCTTCAGTCCCACTTACAGAAGACTGTGTCGTGTTAGTAGCCTATAGTGTAGTGTACCAAAGTATGTATGCGTGGGTATTGATGGTTTTACGGACCATAAGATGTAAGTATTCAGAGGCAAAGGTCAATGTTTTATGGAAGTTGGTAGGATGGTGGATAAGTTGAAAGGTCAAAATTTGTTCAAGGCATGGAGATGAGGTTTTCAAGGAAGCATGAAGTACATGAATCAAGCCGGGCAGCATCACCAATGGTTAATTAGTTACAAGTGAAGAGTTAGAGAAAGGAATAACTCATTTTTTCAATGTAAGGGGTAACATATAACGAGGAATGACAGAAAGTTAGGGTTTAACATGTACACGTTTATGTAAAATATACATGACAAACAGAAAGCAAAGTTACACATGTAAAGAAAGATAAATCAAGCAGAGGATTTGAATGGAAGGAAAATAGGGAGGGGGGAGGGGGTAGGAGGCAATATAAGATTTGATAGAAACATAACAAGAGTAGAGAGAAAATAAGTGTACCATATTTAAAGGAAGCCAGATATTGATATATAAAAAAGCAACAATCACATTCCAAATGTTAGCGGTGATGGGAAAACAATGGACCGCAAATGAAATGGGGAGAGGGAAAAAAAGAAATAGAATGAAACGCAATATTAGTGTCAATTCTACATGATTCTACTATGCAAAATACTTTAATGAGAGTCCAGTCTACAAACTACATGTATATATAAAGTATGCATACCTCTTTATGTAGCATTCTCAAAAAAGGAAAGATGCGAAAATTTAGAATAGAATATTCCGTTCCAACATTACATAAGACAAAAAAGGAAATGTGGGTTTAAAGTCCAAGAATACACATTGTATTAGAATTATGAATAGAAATATAATATACATGTACGCATGCATTTTATCCATGTTTCATAGTGTTACCATATGGAAATATTTATTTAAAAAAATTTTGTTGTATTTTGTTTTTACTTTACAAGAAAACAAAGTATCAAAATCTATAAAAGGTCAGCCCTTTGGTTACCAAAATCAAACGGCCCCTGTATTAAGCCTAAGAGGATGAAAGTATTTGGTAGTCATTGGAATAAGATAATTTGTGTTTTCACCCATAAAAATGTACAAGGCCTAACCTTTTAAACATAGTTTCTCTCATTTTTAATGAATTCGGACACATTAAAGTACAAAAGGGGAAAAAACCTTATTGCTATTTTTAAGATGGAAGCTGTATAATTTTCAAGTGGTGTGTACAATATTGAGATATCATCTCTTTAGACCCAGAAGAGCATAATTATGTGTAAAAAAAGGTATAACATAATGCCCATCTGGCTAAAAACAGACAATAAATGAAGTACATAACCAGAGTTAGGAAAGAAAGCGTACCACAGTGGGCACTGATGTCCTTTCTTGGGGTACACTAGGAGGGGGTCTATGTTGCACCCCTCCTCCTCCAATTTGGTAGTGTTCAGGGACAGTTGAGTACCCCTGGTAAGAGTGGCCATGACGGCAGTGGTTAGAGTCAGATGAGTCATGTGACATAGTTTCTCCGCCGCCGCCGTGATGGCATGGGGCTATAGAGGGCGGTGTTATTGATGGGCTATCTTGGAGAGGCGTGCCCTGTCCAAAGATGAGCCATACAACAAGTAGGTTAATATAAAAAAAGCTCACAAATGTTGTAAAATATTACATAATCTTGAGTTTGGTCATGAGAAAGGAAAAAAAAGGAAAACACATTTTTGTTCACCCATACATGTTAAATATATCATTCCAAAGGTATTAGTACAAACTTCAAGAAAAAGTTTATACAGTGTACAAATCTCCAAGACAAATTTGAAGTAAAAAATAAATTGCAAAATGCCAAATAAACATCGAACGATGTATCATTTAGGAACGAACTGAAAACAACAACACATGCATATTTCGAAAAGTCATTGGCTTCTTTTCAGTAAACAGTGGATTTAGCAAGTTTCCTAGATACATATTTTATGTAGTCTGTCCAAATAACTGACAGATTTAGGAGTTACTAATCTTGATCATTAAGTCAAAATGAATCTTTGAAAATTGTTCACAACCAAAACTCAAGATTATCTTCCAAGAGACAGATAACCAAAGTACCAACAGCAATGAAAAGAACACAGAAGAAACATAAGTTAATGGAATACACATGACAATGAATACAAAAGAATCCTTACTTTAAAATCAAGAGTTTAAATCATATAAATTCACAAGGACACAAAGATTACAAAAGTAGCATAGTATCTTTAAATACACGGAAGATATGAAAATGTTCCACCCAAAGAGAAAAGGAAGAGAAAATGAAGATAGCACATGATACACCAGGAAATTAGTCAGAAGAAATGTTTGCATTTTCTCTGAAGGTTCTGGGTCCAGTTTCATAAAGGTTGTCATCAATAAAGCTACAATATTTGGTATAAGCTACATCGTAGCCACTAATATCCCTCAATTAATTGGCTGGGAGTAGGTTTGCTATAAGTACAGCCTACAGACTTATGGCGGCTGCTTGTCTTAAAGACAAATTTTGATCCAAAATGCACCAACAAATCCTGATGACTTTTGTTGTTTTTTGTTCTAATTTGTTTTTGTCAGCAAATTTGAAGAATACTGTGCCTCTTTTTTTTTTTTTTTAATACAAAATCCTAGATCTACGCCTATTATATCCGTGGCTAATAAATGTAATGAAGGAAACGAAGGTAGACACTTTACTTATGCATGCAATATGTTTAGTTACGCATGCAATACGTTTAGTTTAATAGCTAAAAAGGTACTGCCAGTAACCAAGGATCAACATTAGCAGGCAACCCAGAACACACGGGCACAAACAAATGTTCTGACCCAGTGACCCCCCAAATCAAAAAGATTCTACAAATAGCTCAAGACATATCATGTAGACTCAAATATTTCAGTCTGGAACCCCCATTGAAAACACAATTTAGTAACAGGCCCTCCAGTGAGAGAAGAATAATGAGAATGTCACTGATAAGAATGCATGCACGTTCATCTTGCTGTGCCAGCGATGGGGAAAGGTCAACACCTCTAACTTGACATTTCAATCAAACGCTCAAGCATTTAATGAAAGGCGAGTCAACCGTGACTCATCAACGTCTTAAAGGCCCCAGTCAGACACGAGGTGGGTGTTTCACAAAACTTGTCATCAGTGACAAACGACAGTTGTTGTTCTAAGCTACTGAAATCCTTACTTCTGATTGGTTATTAACAGATTTGTCACTGATATTTGTCATTTGTCATTGAAAAAAGGCTTTGTGAAACGGGTCCCTGGTGGAGCACAACCTCATAATACTCTGCAGCAAAGTTTTACATGTAAATGAATGGCAAGAGGAGATATATTGTATGTAACATTTCTTCCCCATTTCCAGTCATTCATTCCTTCTTTCCTTTCATTTAACTGATTTTATGTTATTGGCCGTTTGCTATCTTTTCTTATTTAATTAATATGTAATATAATTTTTTTTTTTTTTTTTTTTTTTTGGGGGGGGGGGGGGGGGGGTCGGACATACAACTATGCACTAACAACCTCTACAAGTATACACATACTTATCTCAGTTATCTACATGTCTACAAAATAAGATGTAATAATGTAGAGCATGTTTAATAAGTATGCCTTTTTAACATGTCTTTATGTTGTTTGTTTTTGTTCAGGTGGTTTTCAAAACAGGGATAAGGTAACGAAATGTTAGTCCTTTGTTTTCTATGAATTGAAATCAAAGAATCCCATGTTGTTTTGGAGTATATTTGGCATCAAAATACATGTGTCATTGGATAAGATAACGTATGTGGGCTACATCACGACCTTGGCACTATTTCTTCAACAAATGTTAACCATACATCTCATAATTCATCATTTATAGTCAAGAAAACACAAAGTGAATAGAAAATTAATCATCTTGCTAGTCTACGAATGAAGACACATTTTAGCTTCTACTTGTGCACAAGGGTGGGAGAAATTTGTAATTTTGTAATTTTGTATTTATTCAAACCCTGGGGGGGGGGGGGGGGGGCTACTCCGGTGCCTTCAGTACAGACTAGACAATTGATGTACAGTATATATTTACAAGCTACATGTAGTAGACGGTACACTGTAGGTATCAATTTCATCATCACGAGGCCTGAAGGCGGTCTGTTTACCAAAGAGTAGGGCGTATAACTTGAGTGCTCCTCGTAGTTGAGTGATGTAAAACACCACACCTTCATTACCACGAGCGCTCCTTAAAGGCATTGTTTAACAATGTTAAATCTGAGATGCACGGCCCTACGTGTTATCAGTATCTGTGATGTGGTGTAATATTGAAGCCCTAAAAAAAATTGCACTTCAAAATGATCAAGAAGTGCCTCACAAAAGTAAAAATCTTTGAGCGACTGGTTTTACCATACTCGTTTTCCCCAATAGACTGTAGTGTTATGAAAAAATTTGATTTTGATTTCCAATCATAAATATCTTGATAATCAGACAGGCGATCGGCTTGTAAAAGTCATGGGATATCTGACTGATCTAAAGGTTTATAATTATCATTGTAGCATGAGCTATTTTGTTTCAGAATCCGAGACAAAGTTACCCAATCCCTTTAAATCAGCAATGCCATCTGGGATGATCTGGCTTTCATGGTCTCATGCCTGTATAAATGTGTGCCTCTTCAATGCAATGCATAGTGTAGGTATTCGGATCTACTCTGCATTGCATAGTGATGAAGGTGTTTGGATAGGAGCTGCCTCAACATGTCTGCCACCATCACAACCACTATAACAACAGCAACAACATCTAATAATCATAATGATCATAATAATAATTACTAACTGCTAATCAGACTACTGCTTATACTACTACTACTACTAATAATAATAATCAAAATAATGATTTTTTAAATATTGCAATACATGGAGGAATGTTCTTCAGAGAAACGGCTACTATAAAACAATTTTTTCAGTCAAAGATGATTTAGGAATTATCTATTTATTTCATCACTCAATAAGGGGAGATTGAGATTGTCTATAATAAGACAATAATTTTGTGTACAGAAATTTTGGATCATACATGAAAAAATTAAGACCAGTGAGAAAAGGGCATCTACATGTACCACAGTTCATCTTTTTATTCTTAACGTATGTAGAACCATATGATTAAGAGTTTGTTTTGTAAAGACAGAATGGAACTTGAATTGTCATCAATATTAATTTGTGCGCCTCGGAATAGAATTATCTAGATAGAGGGCGCTATATAAATGCATATTATTATTATTATTATTATTAAAGACTGTTATTTCAATGCTGTTGTAACTGAAGTGAATAAACATGATACCAAGTGTAACATCCCATTGTCAATGGACATTCACTGTTAAAGGGTGCAAGCAATGAAAACAAACAAAAAGAAATATATACACATGAAGTTCAAGAGGACATAATTGATAAAAGAATTATGACAGAAACAAATACCAAAGAAAATGACCAACAGGATGACTGAATGAAAACTCTAAGAGAAGTGAAACACATAATGTAACTTGGTGAACAAATACGGGCTGTAGCAACTAGTAGTTACGTGTTATCAGGAAGAGACCTGGGAGGAAGTCCATCGATAGATTTCCTAGAATCCTAGAAACATGGCTTACGGAAGATTTTTTGACACACATGATATCTGTAATAACACACATATTCAAATTACACATGAAGAATAGTTGCTCTTTGAGTTTATGGTGAGAAAGTGTAATGGCTTAGTGGCGGAGCAGTGGTCTCACAAGCATTGGTTCAGGGTTACAGACCAAGTCTTCGGTAATACACTGATCTTCCATTCACAAGCGATTCAGATGGAACCTCTAAAAGCAGTAGGTCCCCTGTTTGCTTTCCTGCAAACATAAGCTGCATCAACACTGCAAGCAAAAATCATTGATTTTTCTAACATTCGGGTGTTGCCAAGCAACTACTGGTAAACAGGGCAGCAACAAGCCCACAACTCACCCCCAAAACAAACATATCAAACACCAACAGTTTCTTTTGGGTAAAGCCTCGGCCACAAATGCCATTACAAACTGCTACGAACGCCGTACGAACGATTTTCAGACAATGGAAATTCGGGAAGACAATGGAAAAACGGAGATTCGTACATAATTATCGTTCGTTCGAACCTTTGTGACCGTAGCATTAAGTGTAAATGGCAATCCCAAAACATGGTTTTTCACAAAGTTTTTAGGCTGAATAAATGGGCTTATATACATCTTTTCTATCACTTGACTTGAAATACAATGGTTTTGGGTTGAAACCCTGGCGCTGCTCTTATGTCCTTGAGCAAGGCATTTCATCCACAGTGCTTCTCTCAACCCAGGTGTTAGATGGGTATCCAGAAGGATTGGATTAGCATGTGCGCACCTGTAAAGCGGTGACTGGCTGGAATGCTCCCCCAGTAGAGTGGACATTATGCACTGTAAAGTGCGGAACCGAAACTGAATACAGTGACCTGTGTGATTGGTCCGTTAATTGGAGGCGCGATAATTCAGTGGTAGAGCAGTGGTCTTGTAATCTGGCGACCCGGGTTCGAAACCAAGGCGATGCGCTAGTGCCCTTTGGTAAGGCATTAATCCTCAATACCAGGTCTTTCGGAGAGGACCTAAAGCCGTCGGTCCTCTGGTAGCTTTACCTACAAGAATTTATACTTTCTGAGCATTCAGGTAAAATAACCACCACTATGTTGTCATACCTGCATTTGAAAAGAAACGGTCATTATCATCATTATCCTCATCAAATGAATTCTTGATCAATCTCACCTGTTCTTGTTCAATTCTGGGTTTGACCTTTGACATGAACACGTCCCACCACATTTTGACGTAGATGGAGTCGTGGGTGACGTCGACGTCCGAGGGTCGTGAGATGGTACCCGTTTGTGTGTTGTACCTATACATCCATGGCTTTGTGCGACCGATGAAATGTACGATGCGGACTTCGTTGCCAAATCTGTTTTGGATGAGGGGATATCAAAACATTTTCATCTGAGAGAAAAAGAACATTATCCATTTCAGGAAAAATTATTCCTTATTTTGTGGTTTGGCTTATGATTTTTTATTCAGAACCTAAAAACATACCAGACGCATAAGCAGAAACAGCAAAAATTTCTGCATATTCTGCATCCATCTTTTTTGCATGACAATACTGTATTTGATGCCAGGAATTTTTAAAAGAAATGTAAGCTTTAAAACGCAGGGGTAATAGTGAGCACTAAAAAAAAAAATAGGTTTTTTGTTTTCCCCTCAACCATGCCCCCCCTTGAGTAAAAAAAAGGAAGAGGATTCGCAGGGAAAAAATGGCATCTAACAACATTCCCCCCTTTCGAGTAAGAAAATTGGGGAAAAAATAAGGAAAAATAGGGAAGTATGGCTGTGCACAACAGTGTAATGAGGTACCCGAGTACACTCCCAGGCTCACAGGCGAATACTCGAATATTCGGATGCCATGTTTTTTTATAATTTTTTTGAATTTTTTTGAATTTTTTTGAATTTTTTTGAATTTTTTTGAATTTTTTGAATTTTTTGAATTTTTGGATTTTTAAATTTTTTTTCTTTTTTTTCTTTTTTTGCCACTACCATACCACTCGGCAGTTTCTCAGGTCCCTCGCTGAAAATGCATGCAACTTTACTTTGAGTTGCAGTTGAAGGCGCCGATTTAATAAGAATAATAACAGTAAACAATGCTGTTTTAAAAACCAAAGATGGCAGAATAATCCATTTTCCTCAAAGTCCAAACAGAAATCTGGACATTTGGTCCCAGTTTCTGAAAGGTGAGTTTGACAGTGCTTGAGTTGGGAAAAAAAATTTACCGACGGTACGATGCCAGCGGACGCCACTCTCCCTGGCACGGGTAAGCGTGGGCCTGGACATTTTTTTTTTTAATTTTTTTTTTTTTGCGGCCGAATATTCGGGTACAAGAAATCGTACCCGAGTAGTTGTCAACCGTGCGGGTACTCGAGCATTCGACTACCCGTCGCAGCCTTATAGGGAAGAATGGATTTTAAAAAAGGGGGGAATCAGGAAAATCAGGATAAATAGGGAAGAAAAAAAAATATGGTAAAAAAAAAATCGGGAAACCGATTTAAATCAGGTTTTTATCAGGCCTGAAAATGTTAAAGAGGATCAAAATCTTTAATTTCATTCAAAATTGGCAATTTCAACAACCTCCAACGAATAATTGTATTTCAATTATCAGAATGCTCATTTAATACATTATGTGTTGTTAGGTAGGAGAGGTATTGAAGGTATTCCACTGGTATTGCCACAGTGAAATGGATTCAGCCACGGAGGGGCACTGGTGCCATTGTGAGTAGAAGAAGGGCCACTAGTCTTGAATACTACAATATGAAGGTGGATGATATGTGATAGAACTCATGTGTGAGGGGGAAGGGGTGCAATGAAGGTGGATGAAATGTGTGAGGGGGGGGGGAGGGATCAGGGTGATTGCATGTATCATCTTCTTTACTCATTCCTTTCCCATCTGTCCCCCCCCCCCCCCCCCCATTCTATTTTGTCATTCGTTGTGGGGAGGAGAGGTATGTTCCCCCAACAAGCCCCCCTTTGTTACCTGACTGTACATGGGGTCAAAGGTCAAAGGTCATTCACGTACCTTACAAATGCTGGAAGGTAGGAGTAGCTGATTGCAGATGTCATGTTATAGATAAAGGGCAAGTGTTTGTTGATATCGGCCGTTGCCCAGTCGCTGAAGAATGTGTTTAATAAGCCCTGATCTCCACCTGTAAAGAAAAAAGAAAAAGTAGACAAAAATAAACAAACAAATTTCAGTATCATATCTTGGAAACTTTGGATACATGCCACGTTCCTTTGCATACAATGTATATCTTACAAGGCCAAGCAAATTGGGAATGAGTGTCACAATAATACATCACCATCATCATCATCACTACCATCATCATCATCATCATCATCATCATCAACATCAACCACCTTCATCATCATCATCACTATCATCATCATCATTATCATCATCACCATCATCATCATCATCATCATCATCATTCACCATCATCATCTTCATCTTCATTTTCACCATTATCATCTTCATCATCATCATCATCATCATCATCATCATCAACATCATTATCATCATCATCATTATCATTATCATCTTCACCATCACCATCATCATCATCATTGTCATCATCATCTTCACCATCACCATCATCATTGTCATCATTATCATCATCATCATCATCATCATCATCACCACCATCATCATCTTCACCATCATCATCACTATCATCATCATCATCATCACCATCATCATCATCATCACCATCATCATCATCACAAGTTTAACATTTTCAATCTCCATCACAATGACAACCACCCTTACCATCAAAGCTTCCCTGAGTAACTGCACATTGCAACAAGCCTCTATACGTCTCATTTGATGGTTTGAAAACAAATACGCCAGAGTTGAAACAATCGGGCCAACCAACATCCGGAGCTGCCGAAAGTTCTTCCCTATCAAAGAGGTCATCTACATTTTGAAGAACCTGTCAAGGGAGATGAAAAACATGCAAACTTTAACATGTATATTGAACAATTATATTGGAGGAAAGTCTAAAGGGGCCGGGTAAGCAAGTTCATTGATGATGATGATGATGACTGATGATGTAGATGATGATGATTGATGATGATAATGAAGATGATGATTGATGATGGTAATGAAGATAATGAAGATGATGGTGAAGATGATGGTGATGATGATGACAGTGACGATGATGATGATAGTAATGATGACAATCATGATCATGTTACCTACATGTATATTACATCAAAGGATTGAAAGGAAAGCTATTTCTTGATGATTAATTTTGGTCAAAATCATAGAATCAAAAGAAATAGGTATTTTGTTTTACTCTTTGATTTTGCAATCAGCAATTTTTACACACGAGCAAATTCACAGGGGTGGTAAACAGAGTGGTAGTGGTGAGAAGGGGGGGGTAGGGTGGCTTGTTGACTTGGCTTTATGTGAACATGTTAACAGAGTCAACAGACTGAACATACTTTTAAAACTGAGTTCATCACTTCCTTCATTATAAATGCAAACACTCATCTAAGTTTTTCACAAGAGCTAGCCTATGCATATTTACAGTACAGATTTATGAAGATTAAATGGTAAGTAAACAGGACAAATACTTGAAAGTTCTCTTCGAAGTTATCCAGGAAAAGATGAAGGCATGAAACGTAGTCTCTAATATGTCCCCATGTATGTAATTCATTATGACACTCCATACATATACAGGTAAACTACATGTACTGTACATGAAGTTTATCACACAAAAAATAAGATGTACAAGGCTGACATCTAGATGTACAGGTACTATACGCTCAAATGAACAGATGATACTTCTGCTCTTACTATTACATGAAATATTCAAACTCGGGCCTCTCGCCAAGAAATTAAAATCGGGTGGCGCGACCCGAGGGGATATTTGACACCCCCCCCCCCCCCAAAAAAAAAAAAAAAAAAAAAAAAAAGTAAACATTTGGATTTTTTTTTTTTTTTTTTAATAATTTTTTTTTAATAATTTTTTTTAAAACAAATATTACAAGTAATTTGATGAATTATTATCATGGTATTATATTCCGGGCCATCGTCATATTTACCCTTGCACTAAATAATCTTAATTATCAATGTTATTCTATCTGTCTATGTTGGAATTTGTGAAATTTGTTATCCAATGTTACGAAGAAAAAAAAATGGGAATGATCCTAGATGGTAACCCGACACATGCTCCGCCGACGATTGCTCCGCCGACATTTACTCCGCAAAACGCGACAATTGCTCCGCGACATTTGCTCCGCGACATTTGCTCCGACGTCAAATGCTCCGCCGACAGTTGCTCCGCCGACAGTTGCTCCGCCGACAGTTGCTCCGCCGACAATTGCTCCGCCGACAGATGCTCCGCCGACAATTGCTCCGCCGACAATTGCTCCGCCGACAATTGCTCCGCCGTCAATTGCTCCGCAAAACGCGACAATTGCTCCGCCGACATTTGCTCCGCCGACATTTGCTCCGCCTGAAGCGACACTTGCTCCGCCGACATTTGCTCCGCCGACAATTGCTCCGCCGACAATTGCTCCGCCTGAAGCGACAATTGCTCCGCCGACATTTGCTCCGCCTGAAGCGACAATTGCTCCGCCGACATTTGCTCCGCCGACAATTGCTCCGCCGACAATTGCTCCGCCTGAAGCGACAATTGCTCCGCCGACATTTGCTCCGCCGACATTTACTCCACCGACATTTGCTCCGCCGACAATTGCTCCGCCGACAATTGCTCCGCCTGAAGCGACAATTGCTCCGCCGACATTTGCTCCGACGACATTTGCTCCGCCCAAAAAGTGTCCCATAAACTACAAATGCTACTAGTACTACGACAAATGCTTCGCCGACAATATTTTCTTTACACCTATTTTTTTCGTTTCTTTTTTCTTCTTCATTTTCTGAATGCATTTCTTGAAATAATGTAGATGAAATGAAATGAATGAATGTTGATGAAGTGGGAGGAAAAAGGAGTTACCTAAAAGTCATTTCGAATATACTGAAATAACTTTCCATCTATCACTGTACGTCCCATATAATGTATACTAAACACTCATTACATGTCGTGGGAAGTTTTTTTAAAAAAGTAGAGCAGCAAGCCACATTCCCCAATACGCGCATACCTCCTAGTTAATTTCAAGTAGCTCATCAATATGTAATACCTGAAATTACCTCGATCAATGCATCTTACTAGGTAAAGCATTATACAATGTAATAGGTCATCATGGAAGTCTAGAAAATAAGGGGGATTTACCAAGTGTTGATCTTTTTAAGAGTTTTATAAAGAAACAAAAAGATATTGAATATTTCTCAGCGAAAAAAAAGGAACAAGCTTGTTTCGCATTTTAAGAAATGGCGATTTGACTTATGATACTCATGTTGATTTAACTTTTATTCCTGTGCCCCCTCACTCCCCTTTATGCACTGGAGTTCAAACTATGATTTATATGTGTACAGTGTATTTTTTTTTACTATAATGTTTTTTTTTTATAACTTTCTTGTCCTTTCATTATTGTTAGTTGTTCTTATACATATTGGTTTTTTTTTGTTTGTCTAATTATTACCAATGACTTGTAAATATGTAATTTTTATATGATTGAAAATTTAATAAACACACAAATATTTAAAAAAAAAGTTTAGAAAATAAGGGCACTTATATACGTAAGGAAGAGAACCCATTTAGACGGGAAAATGAGATGGCAGCCTTTCTGCTTATTCACATTTATACAAATCATTTTGTTGCAGTTTGATGTTAGTTCTTCATGATAAGCCAATTGCTCTTCTTCCGGTGGCTTCGTGAGTCCCTTAAATTATTTAGTGAAAACAAAGTACTCGAATGAAACGGAGTGTTTTGCACACTAACATATATATATTAAAGCTACATACACTTAACTAAAGGAAAGAAACCTTTAGAAAATGGACTGGATATTATTGAAAATATTATTCTAAACAAGAATGTACTACATGATTGTATTACTTTACGTTTCAATTTCACGAGAGAAATAGAACTCGAGAGGGGGAGCAGAGAAGAAGTGATGGAAATGAAAGAAGACTAATAGCATGAGAGGAAAGAAAAGAGCAAAGAAGACAAGAAAACGGTGTAAACAGGAAAAGGAGGAGCATGGGAGAGAGAGAAAGAGAGAGAGAGAGAGAGAGATAGCCTTGAGCTTTGGATCAGCTAATGAGTAATACATGAAACAGATTTTGAGCGGAGTAATTATCTTTCGCCGGAGAACTTGCGTAAGGAGCTATAATTTTATTTTTTATTTTTTTAAATCAAACATTATGGGGAATAGCAAAAAACGGTTGTCTTTTTTGCTCTTTTCTTTCCTCTCATGTTATTAGTCTTCTTTCATTGAGGTAATTTCAGGTCTTACATATTGATCAGCTGTTTGAAATTAACTAGGAGGTATGCGCGTTTTGGGGAATGTGGCTCCTGCTCTACTTTAAAAAAAAAAAACTTCCCATGACATGTAATGAGTGTTTAGTGTACATTATGTGGGACGTACAGTGATAGATGGAAAGTTATTTCAGTATATTCGAAATGACTTTTAGGCAACTGCTTTTTCCTCCCACATTATCAACATTCATTCATTTCATTTCATTTACATGAAAAAAAAATGAAGAAAAAAAGAAAGAAACAAAAACAACCCGTGAAAAAAAAATATTGTCGGCGAAGCATTTGTCGTAGTACTAGTAGCATTTGTATTTAATGGGACACTTTTTGGGCTGAGCAAATGTCGTCGGAGCAAATGTCACCGGAGCAAGTGTCGCTTCATGCGGAGCAAATGTCGTTGGAGCAATTGTCGGCGGAGCAAATGTCACCGGAGCAATTGTCGCTTCAGGCGGAGCAATTGTCGGCGGAGCAATTGTCGACGGAGCAATTGTCGGCGGAGCAATTGTCGGCGGAGCAAATGTCGTCGGAGCAATTGTCGGCGGAGCATATGTCACCGGAGCAATTGTCGCTTCAGGCGGAGCAATTGTCGGCGGAGCAATTGACGGCGGAGCAAATGTCGGCGGAGCAAATGTCGGCGGAGCAAGTGTCGCTTCAGGCGGAGCAAATGTCGGCGGAGCAAATGTCGGCGGAGCAATTGTCGCGTTTTGCGGAGCAATTGACGGCGGAGAAATTGTCGGCGGAGCAATTGTCGGCGGAGCAATTGTCGGCGGAGCATCTGTCGGCGGAGCAATTGTCGGCGGAGCAACTGTCGGCGGAGCAACTGTCGGCGGAGCACCTGTCGGCGGAGCATTTGACGTCGGAGCAAATGTCGCGGAGCAAATGTCGCGGAGCAATTGTCGCGTTTTGCGGAGTAAATGTCGGCGGAGCAATCGTCGGCGGAGCATGTGTCATGGAACCTCCTAGATCTAGTTGTTTGGATTTTTTAAAGCTGTAATTATTTTCCTTATATTAAAAACAATATTGCAATTTCTTATTTTCACAAAAATTGCAGTACTCAAATTTCGGCAAGTCTTTTACTTTATATTCAAGTAAAATAAATTCTCTGTCTCAAAATGAAATTGATACACCCGTCAATGAAAGTTTGAATTGAGGTCAACACACAGACTAGGCCGCTGCGCTAAGCTATGTGCACACAATACCATACCTGCCACCCCTTACAAATAATTCAGAATATTCTGGGTTTTTTTTTATCTCTAGGACCTGAAAATCCGGAATATTCAGATTTTTCAAAATTTTGATTTTTTTTTTATTTTTTTAAAGAAGGCATGGCGCTAGGTCGGGCCAATCAAGAACGTGTTATCTGTGTACGCGAGGCCTTGTTCAAACTGTCTTTGGAGTGAGCATACTGCAGATTAAACATACAATAAATACATCTTTGTGTATATGACATGGTAACCACATGGAGGTAAGAATAGTCTGGTCTGGCCAAGCATCCCGTTCATAACCTTCCAGAATTGATGTTGTTGAAAGACATCTTCATTCCCTCCCTGTTAAGTTAAGGCAAAATTACAAATGCAAACTATGAAAGAAAATAACCAACAGAAAAAGGAAAAAAGAAATTGTTTACAATTTACATTAATATCAACTATTTGAATTCCTCCTGTTCTTACCCGAGTGTTACCTATTTTTTTTTTTTTTTCAGGGGGGTGGGGGTGGGAGGGGGTTTGTCACAATCCTATACTCACCAAGGTATCTGCATCCAGGAAAACACACTTAGAGTACTGGGTGAGCCGCCAGCTGTAGAGCTTTGTGAATGTGATTCCTAGATCAGGTCTGGTTAAAAGAGCAAGGTGGGCGTCGTCCTGGCTGTCTAGAGGATTCACCTCCTGTATGTAGTCATAGAGCATGGAGAGCTGTCTCCTGCAATAGAAAAGGAAAGGAAAACAAAAATGTTAGGCAGTAGAGCTTTGTGCCTGTGATTCCTAAATCAGGTCTGGTTAAGAGAGCAAATCGGGCGTCATCCTGGTTGTCTAGAGGATTCACCTCCCAGGGAAAAAATTAATATTTATTTTTCAGGGGCTACATTTCAAGCTTGCCTGCCTAAAATAACATTCTAAAATTTGTTTTGCATAGAACTCTATGTAAATTTATGGGGGCTCTTTTCTGATTTTCGGGGGCTCTTTTGGGCATTTCGGGGGCTATTTCGCCCCGATCCCCGTGTATTTTTTTCACTGTCACCTCCTGTATGTAGTCATAGAGCATGGAGAGCTGCCTCCTGCGATAGCAAAGGAAAATAAAAATGTTAGGCTGTAGAGCTTTGTGAATGTAATTCGAAGGTCAAGTCTGGTTTACTGTTAGAGGGTGTCACACAGCGACGCCTTCAAAGAAAACCATAAATATCTTTGTGGTTTGGGAATTTTTTCAGGATATTTTGCATGTTATAGGGTTAGTACAGTAGAAGGAATATATTCAGTAACATTTCATACAAAAATTACGCAGTTTTTTCATCAACCTTCAACAATGTTACCGAGTCACTTTAAAATAACTGTGTTGTACATGTACAAAGTGAAACCCCTCTAGGAAGGCAACTGTCTAGCTAGCCCCCCCCCCCCCCCCCCTCTCTCTCTCTCTCTCTCTCTCTCTCTTTCTCTCTCTCTGTATATATATTATATTTAGGAAATATTACTAGGAAAAAAGGTGTTATACTAGCTTATGTAGAGGATATACAAACAAAAGTGTGACCTCAACACAACTTGGGCAAAAAATGAAACATACATGTAGCCTACTGTAAATGACTGCATCCTTGTATTATTACTTCCTCAAATGCTACATGTAGGTACTGTAGGTAAAACTGCTTTACAGTTTAACAAATAAATTCTTAATTAATTTGAAATTAAATATACTGATAATAACAATGGTCATTGTATTAATTCATGTTATGCCTTACATTTGTAGCATAAAACATCCTGAAAGTTTAGGCCTTTCCATACAATTATTTTTGTGTGGGGGGGGGGGAGCTATTGATTTTTCAAATGTTCAATAATTACAATTTACAGACATCTTTTTCAATACATCTGTTTTGTTCAATTAGCAAAATAATGAAACAAATGCATGGATGGATAAAGGAATATTATGAAGGGTGGACGGACGGATTGATGAATGGATGGATGAATTACTGAATAGATGGATGAATTACTGAATGGATAAATAGATGTATGGAAAATTGAATAGAGAGACAATGGATGGGAGTAAAAATTAATGAATGGATGGATCAATGAATTAATGGATGGTTAAAATACATAAATACCAACTTTAAATCAAATATTTGCAAACTGGTGATGGGACCTCTTCAAGGCAACTACAATGCACCAAAATATGATTTTTTGTTTTTCAAAGACCAGCATTAAATTTTCAGGGGTGATAGTGAGCATTAAAAAAAAAAGGGGGGGGGGGAGGTTTCCCTCAACCACACCCCCCTTGAGTAAAAAAAAAAAGAAGAGGATTCGGGGAAAAATGGCATGTAACATTCTCCCCTTTTGAGTAAGAAAATTGGGGGGAAAAAGGAAGAATAGACAAAATAAGGGGAATATAGGGAAGAAAAAAAAAAAGGGGAAAAAAATGGTTTAAAAAAAAAAAAAAAAAATTAAAATCAGGAAAAGAAAAAAATCGGGAAAAGAAAAAAATCAGGAAGAAAAAAAAATTAGGAAAAAAATAATAATCTGGAAAACGATTTCAATCGGGTAATTAACAGGTCTGAATTTTACCTCATTGGCTGTGTTACTTGTGGTGTAATCAGAATAGCAAGCTGTCGTGTGGTTCCCACATCTCGCAGCGACTGCCCAACAACGAGGGCTCCATATGCATATCTGTCATTGGTGACGAGGGTCACAAATGCCTGATCTTCAACTGTATGGGAGAGAGATTAGAAGAGAAGAAGAAAATCACTAACAAGTAATTTTTAAATAGACTCATCAGCCATGTCTCCATTATCAAGAAAAAAAGTGAGAAACAAAACTATTTCATTCGAAACTCCTTGAAGTTGATTTCATACATACATTGTAAATAGAGGATCTGCTATTAAAATATTAAAATTGAAACTTGTCTATTATGTTTTCAGCCTTGCTTGCATTGTGCAGAAAATAATTTCTACAAAGATAGAAACAAAAATGTTCACAGGAGCTGTATTTAAATTGCTATCTAAATTGCAAGTTGCAGCGATTTTTAAAAAAAAAATTAAACCAGACAAACAAACTTACTAAGTTTTCAAGAGCTCAACTTTGGAGATTGTCAGGTCAGTAAATCCCTGGGAGTCCCTGCTCCCATGTTATATTTTAGTTTATATTTGTTTAGCTGAACCTGTACAATTGGCTGATCAAGTAAACATTGATATCCTGGCAGGATATATAAAAGTAAGTAGACCCTATCACTTCTAAGAAAGGTGGTTTTTACTATAGAGCTTGAGAGTTGATTTCTTTCACTGAACAACTCAACAAGGAAATAGAATGCACATGAGGAAACGATAAGCATCGCATTGTAGTTCCTATTGGCAGTGGAGACATGGGGGTCACCGTATGAACCGGATTGGTTGCTCTACCATGACCGAAACCTGAAAGAGAATGTTTTTTTTCTCTTTTACTAAGAGTTCTTAGACAGTCAAAATTCAAACCATGTATTGTGATGAAACCTGCTATTGTGTCACATCATGCAAGCCACATGTATATTGTGCATAGTGTAATACCATAAACCATACAAGAAGTTTGCATAATTTTTGATTGATAGTTTCAGAGGTATTGTGTAGAGACGGTACTGAGCGACGACGTCGACATAGAAGCCCTAAACGGAGGCTTCCCGATGTCGGATTTGATCCAAATTCATGATTATGATTATGATCAAAATTAGTTAAAAATTAGGCTAAAATTCTTTTGCTAAGAATTGATATGAAACTGCTAAAAAATTGGATACGAAAGTAAACTAGCGCAAGATTTTCCTGTTTTTTTTAGGTTATATGATAAATCATAGAAGACTTAATTAATTGCATAAAAATCTAACTATTTTGGAAACTCAGAGGTAATTTTGGAATCTTGTATGTGTTACGCATGAACAACCCCCGGTGCGCAAATCCGGGGCTCGAGTTCCCAGTGACAAAGCAATTGTTTTTATTTGTTTTGTCTTGGATGCGTGCATTTTATTAAGAAGGTAAACAATATGCTGAGTGAGCGGTAGTAAGGCATGACATTGTAAATACTCTCAACAAAATAGTGTCAACATTAGTTCATGTATCAGATCACATTTATTTCTTCCATTAAATTAAGAATTTTCCCTGTGTATACATGTGTATGTCGGTTTCAGTGATAATTCATACAGTACACTTATGAATTTTGGAGTGGATGATTTATTTCTGAATTCCCATAGAATGACGTAATTTTATACCTGTCCATCCAAATGTATAGATTATGTTTAATAATACATGCATGTATTAAACATTTAACATACACGTACATGTGCAGGTAAATCTGATGCAAAAGTAGGCCTGTAATAGATGATTGGATCGGGGGCCGATCTTGAGCCGATCAGGGGTGATCGGATAATAATTTCCGATCGCTGATCAATAAAAATGATCGGAAAAAAAAATCGGCAGATTTTTATTTTTTTTTTAATGCCGGAAATTTTCTAAGTTTTTGGCTATCAAATGCTATTAAAAAAATTCATAGCTAGGATTCTTTTGTCATGTGGATTTGTTATAGACCATGTTTGTTGATATTTAGTGCCTTTTCATGACTTTGAAATTAATAATATTGGTCTAAGAGAAGAGGCAAAACATGCGGGCCACCATCTTGGATTATAATGCATGCCTACGTTATAATCCAAGATGGCGGCCCGCATGTTTTGCCTCTTCTCTTAGACCTGAAAAGGCTCCAAAATCAACAAACATGGTCTACAACAACTCTAAATGACAAAATAATACCATCCATGATTTTTTTTGAGCATTTGATAGCCAAAAACTTGAAAATTTTTGTCATTAAAAAAAAAAAAAAAAATTTGGCCGATTTTTTTGGTCGATCTTCCTATCCGATACCGATCAAAGGTGCGAGGGTGTCGCTCCCATCTTCCGATCCGATCAGAGCCCCAACTTACAGGGTTATGCAAAAGGTTTCTAATTTTTAGTATACTGCTCATGATGACACATGTTTTAAAGTATCCGTGTCAAATATCATTTTCACCTTTCTTCCTTAAAAAAGCATCTATAACACAAGAAGAAAAGAAAGTAAAAAACACCTAGAGAGATATTCTGAAAAATATATGTTATCATCAATGTTAGTAAAACAACATAATTGTCATACATCAACATTTGGATGTATGTAAGTCATTGGTTAATGTCGGCAGACTCTGCACAAAGCTGGCTACGTTCATGTCATGCTAAAAGAGAACACCAATGGTAAGTGTTAGTTCTGTGCAATTTGAGTTTGATATCCATGGCCATTAACATCATTTTCCCTGACATAAATGAGAACATCCTTTTCAGAATACATCCCCTGGGGATCTGCAAGCCATTTTTGTAAGTGCAAGGAAAGTCCAGGGAATAATTTTCCTCAAATTTTTTGATTAGCAATTTCAGCCGATGGATAAATATTTCAAATGAAATTCTGTACATTTCTATGGAAGAAAACTGCTACACAAAAGATATTTTGTATAGCAGTCATGCAAAAATGCATAGCAAATTGCGATGCGATACCAGGAAAATTATTCCCTGAAAGTCTTACTAATTAGAGGCTAGACTTAAAAAATAAAAAATTAATACCAATGGCAACTGCATACCGAAGACGGCACAATACCCAAACAAGATATGAACTAAAAAGTAATAAGATCGATGGGGCCCTTTTTAGGAGATTGTGTCATCTTCTGTTAGCAGCGTCAGGTTGAGAGATTGTTCTTATAATCAAAATAGATACATTGACTCTATGTGTAGACCAAGGCAGTTTTTCACTGAACCATACCAAATATCATTTTGCCGATATCCCATTGAATTTGAATAATATAAAGATAAAGGTGAGTTCTGGTAATGCGATTGCATTGTGAAAGAAAAGGTTTGGAATGGATCAGAAACAGTTGATCATGTAGCATGTAAGTATTGGTGTGCACTGCAAGGTTCTGGAGTCATTAAAATCATAATAAATTTGGCCGAGTCTTGGTAAAGTAGCAAGCACTGTACACATAAAGCTATATATGAGACAACACACATGGTGTCAGGCTAGTACTACCTTGATTTCCTTGTCTTTCTATGCTCATTACTAAGCCAGGATACATTTTCTTCCAAAATTGTTTGGCCCATGTCATTTATTTGTAATCTTGAACAGTTTCGTTTGATTCTGTGAGAATTAATTTTCTTTTTTTTACCAGAACTAGAGTTTATCTTTAACAGTAGGGGCACTGGTCCTAGAATGAGGATCGTCCTCATAAACAAGGATATCCTCATAAACGCAGACAAAATGTGTCCTGCAAAATAAGGGTTGTCTGCATTTTCGAGGACGTTTTTTTTTCATCGGCTCTCGGGGCGTTTCATGTTACAGAACGGCCTGCTGGCGATGCTAAAAATGGATTCCCCGGGGGAAAATAATGCTAGTTCACCGTCTACTTTTATGGGTTGTCCGTTTTCCCAAGGATTTATTGCTCATAATGTAAAGGTCTCTGTACAAAGTCAATGTAAATGCATCAAGAAAATCATTGCAGAATCTGTTTTTTGCATCGCCAGGCAATGCACCGATCAAAAATATGAAACGTCAGCGAAAATGCAGACGGTCCTTATTTTTGAGGACGCATCAGTCCGTGTTTATGAAGACGATCCTCGTTTATGAAGACGATCCTTATCCTCGGACCAGCGCCCCTACTGCTTAACAACAAGTCACTCAATGTTTTGACAGTTCAGTGGGATGTTGTTGGCATATCATTATTAGTACTAGGCCTAGTCTAGACCGAAAGCTTCAGTCTCTATAATCGTCGGTTGTTCCACTGAGACTACGTCTGGCTCCACTAGACCTCCGGTTATAGAGACTGAACGACTGCCTATGCCAGCCTGTGTTGAACTTATTCCGCTAGATTTTAGCCGCTAGGCCCCTCCCACAAACTTGCCACGGCCGTATTGTTATGCCCCCAAAATCCCCCAAAATGTCATTTTACCTCGTTCATTTCCAATTTTAAATTAGGCCTAGGCTATAATACATCGGTTCCACTTACTAACTTTATTGATATAATCCGTTTAATGGTCCCTTTTAAGGAAATTATCGGTCAAAATCGACATCCATGTTGAAAATCTTGCAAGCCGTGTTAAACTCTCGCTGCCGTCAATCTCATCCCTTCTAGTCTACGCCGAAGGCAAAATGATTATGAAGGAAAAACTGTGCGCCATCTACACGTTCGTAATGGCGTTATCACAGTTTTTCCTTCATAATCATTTTGCCTTCGGCGTAGACTAGAAGGGATGAGATTGACGGCAGCGAGAGTTTAACACGGCTTGCAAGATTTTCAACATGGATGTCGATTTTGACCGATAATTTCCTTAAAAGGGACCATTAAACGGATTATATCAATAAAGTTAGTAAGTGGAACCGATGTATTATAGCCTAGGCCTAATTTAAAATTGGAATTGAACGAGGTAAAATGACATTTTGGGGGATTTTGGGGGCATAACAACACGGCCGTGGCAAGTTTGTGGGAGGGGCCTAGCGGCTAAAATCTAGCGGAATAAGTTCAACACAGGCTGGCATAGGCAGTCGTTCAGTCTCTATAACCGGAGGTCTAGTGGAGCCAGACGTAGTCTCAGTGGAACAACCGACGATTATAGAGACTGAAGCTTTCGGTCTAGGCCTAGTCTAGATTAGACCGAATTTTTCTGTCTCTTTCGTTCGTTAGCCTCTGATTTGGGTAGGTCGGCTCTCTCTTTAGAGACAGAACAGCCCCATACGCTGTAGTGGCCGCGCGTTTGTACTAAGAAACGTTACACAAAACTTGGCCAAACTTAATCCCTAATTTTGATGTTTTACCGGATGCGTATCCGATGCATTTAAAGTCCTAAATTAGCTAAATACTTAACTACTTCGGTTCCACTTACCAACTTGACTGGAATAATCCGTTTAATGGTCCATTTTTAGGAAATTATGGGTCAAGATCGACATCCATGAAGAAAATCTTGCAGCCGAGTCTCATTCTTTCTAGTCTACGCCGAAGGCAAAATGATTATAACGGAAAAACTGTGCACGAGCTACGAGTTCGTAATGACATGCACAGTTTTTCCGTTATAATCATTTTGCCTTCGGCGTAGACTAGAAAAAATGAGACTCGGCTGCAAGATTTTCTTCATGGATGTCGATCTTGACCCATAATTTCCTAAAAATGGACCATAAACGGATTATTCCAGTCAAGTTGGTAAGTGGAACCGAAGTAGTTAAGTATTTAGCTAATTTAGGACTTTAAATGCATCGGATACGCATCCGGTAAAATATCAAAATTAGGGATTAAGTTTGGCCAAGTTTTGTGTAACGTTTCTTAGTACAAACGCGCGGCCACTACAGCGTATGGGGCTGTTCTGTCTCTAAAGAGAGAGCCGACCTACCCAAATCAGAGGCTAACGAACGAAAGAGACAGAAAAATTCGGTCTAAGTCTAGATCTAATACTTGCTTGATGGTTTCATGAAACAATGTTCAGATTAAGATTTTTGACTGTTAGAAACACTACAAACATCCCCAACTCAACAACAGTCAACTGTAAACTGAAACCCTCTTGTTGTGCATGTAGCTGTAGATCATGTAGAAAGTGACAGAGCATCTATTTCTAAAACCAGATGAAAACAGCCCTCACCAACCGGCTGTGCATGCTGCATGCAATACTATGGCTCAGTGACACGAAGACTGATTGTGAGAGCAATTCTAACCATTCTTCCGAGTCCATAAAATAGATCTAAAAATGTGTCCTATCGCGCAAAAAATCACACAATACAAGGTGAGAATACATGCCATAGAAACAGTATTCAAAATTTTCGAAAAATCCAGCAAAATCATACAATTCTCACCTTTTCCCGACATCTTCAATCCAGTATCTTTACGACTGAGGTATACGTGGGGCGGGTCAAAAGTGTAGTTCGATTATTGTACACATAGGAATCTCAAGTATGCAGGGAGTTACACTGAGTTCATAATACTCTTCAGTTTACTCTAAATCTTTCTCATTTAGATCATCATTGTGCATTTTTACATACATATATCTTCTTTATGATAGTAATTTGTCAATTCAGTAAAGTATTGGTGATAACAGTTGCCTCAATCTTGTGTTTAATTAAACTCTAAAGCTCATCCCAAAAATTTGCAACCCTCTAATTAATATGGACGTGTCCCTATAATTTAAAACTTGTCACGTTTATGTTGTGTCTGCTAGCGCAGCATAGTAGCTAGCTTAGCGCATAAGCGTATTTATAAGTACACGTGTTGTCTGCATGCAGTGTAGGCCTATTTACAGGCGATGGCGCTCTGCAAGTTGGGCCAAGATTAAAAAAGGGGTGCTGGTGGGGTTAATACATGTCCCCATTTTTATGAATTTTGTTTGACGGGGGTCGGCACCAGTGGCGGATCCAGAGGGGTGGGGGGCCCGGGGGGCCCGGCCCCCCCCCCCTTGAGAAAAAAATCATGCAAAATTACGCGATTTTTACCTTTTTGGGGGGGTTGGCCCCCCCCCCCCCCTGGCGCTCAAGGGGGGGGGGGGTGCAAATTTTAAAATTTTCGAGGACCAAAAAAAAAAGTGTGCTCACTACCCCCCCCCCCCCTCCCCCCCCCCCCCCCCCCCCCCCCCCCCCCCCCCCCCCCCCCCCCCCCCCCCCCCACTGAGCGACTTTTCGGCCGGCGCGATTTACAAATTTTCGGGAGCAAAAAAATAAAAAAAGTTGGGCCCCCTCCCCTAAGAAATCCTGGATCCGCGCCTGGTCAGCACAACTGTTACCAGGCGCGGATCCAGGATTTCTTAGGGGGAAGGCCCAAATTTGAAATTTAGTGTGCTGAAATTTGAAAATCCTGCCGGCCGATATTTCGTTAAGTGGGGGGAGGGGGGTAGTGAGTACATTTTTTTTTTCTTCTATTTTGCCCCCGGAAATTTTGGAAAGTACATTTCTGGTCACAATTTTTTTTTTTTTTTTTTTTTTTGCCAGGGGGGAGGGGGCAAGGCCCCCCCCCCCCCCCCCCCCCTTGGTCCGCGCCTGACGGTTACCATGTTCATCTATTTATAGTCTTGTTTTAACATATTACCGTGACATTATAGAGCAATGCTATTCCACAAGACAAAAAAAGGTGGAAAATTACGTCCGTGTTCCGAAGATTAGAACGACAAAAATAGTCAAGATCAATTTTTATTGTCTAGAAATAGATTTCGAAATTCTGTTACTGGAAATTTGTTGAAAAATCATGTCAAATCATTGATGAAAAATCTATGCAAATATTCAAAAAAAATATTTCTAGGTACCATTGATTATGTATTGTTTTTAGCTGTAAAGGGAGCGGCGATCCCGAGTCCCCCCTTAATTATTTTAGGGGGCAATTGAAAAAAGTGCCCCCAAAATGTTTATAGCAAATACTGACTAAAGACTGCAACCCACTTTTAGCGTTTAAATTAATAAAAATCTTCAGATATCGCTCGGTCGCTATATATGCTCCCCTCGCATAATATCCTTCAAAATGTACGGTAAATAGTGAAAACAGCAATCTCAAAATGTGACTTTGGCGTGACGGTCACGAAATCAATCTCACAAACTGAGTCGTACATGGAATCAAACCCGCGAATGATTCTCACGGAATCAGATTGATTTTTTACAAAACAGGGACTCGTCAGATAAAAAGTTGCGATTAATCGCAAATTATTATTAATCGGAACTTATTTGCGATTGATATCAATCTTTACTACGCACGTAATAAGAGAAGGGAACCACTGCAAACTTGCGATTAATTCGAGGACTTGTGATTGTAGTATAAGCATGCAGGAACAAAATCTATCAATCCATCTATTTGTCTCTATGTGTCAAAAAGAAGCATTGCATTTTACAGATACACCACAAAAACTCATCATCTTTATTTGGCAAAAGACTGTATTCGTAGTGTTGCCATTTAAAAATATTTTTATTATACGGCACAAAAGGTGTACCTGCATGGAGAGACACACTACCTAAATTCCTTCCCCATTTCTCAATTTCATATGTTAAATGGTAAAGGGTTTTATCTGGTAGGGTGCACGTAGTCGAGATGAGGATGGGGTGGAAGAACGGGTTGGATAGTAGAAGAAGTAGGATAGTAGTATATAGGGGAAGGATGGTAACGATGGTAGGGTGTTAGTACTAGTAGAGGTATTATAGGGAGGATAATAGTAGAGGAAGGGTAAAGGAGTATGGTGGTATTAGAGGTACTGGTAGTAGAGGTATAGGGTGACAGTAGAGGAAGGGTGGTAGTAAAGGTAGGGTAGTAAAGGTAGGGTGGTAGTAGAGGTAGGATGGTAGTACTAGTAGGGGTAGAGTGGTAATAGAGGTTGGACAGTAAAGGAGGTAGGGTGGTGGTAGATGCAGGATGGCCGGAAACAGAGGGAGGATGGTACTAGAAGTGGGTGGTTATCGAAGGAGGTCTGGTTGTAGCAGAGGTATATAGGGTGGTAGTTAAACTGACACCTCTTCATTCGATCGAAATATGCAATCGATCGCCATTTTGGTTGTTTTCGTCTATTCCTATATTTCATCCGAGAAGCTCAATTTTCTTTTCTCTTTATAATGACCCAGCCATTATATTAGTTCTAAATATTAGACGATGCATATGGGTTTTCTTGGTAAGTCTGCGATTTGTGCAATTTAAAAATTTAATTCAAGTGTAAATACAGAAAATGTAATATATCGCATCAATAATTAAAACAGGCATATTACGTCATATGAATCATGCGCAAAATACATCCCTATAGCTAGCATTGGCTTATAGATATAAGGGGGCAATATCACACACTGCCCCCCCCCCCCCTACCACTTCTGGAGCTGCGTTCCCATATATGCCCCTCCTAATTTGGCCAAGTTCTACAAGTATATTAAAAGGCTTTTATTGCTCGTTATGAGTATTGCAAAACAGATCGGCGACTCTTATGTAACCCTACATGGTACATTAAGTGGACATCATCAAAATCCTAACCATAACCCTAACCCTAACCCTATATGTCTAATGTCTAATGTCTCTTGGCGCTAAGGGACTTCGGCGCTTTATAATTAACGTTTTTTATTATTATTATCATTATTATCACTTAATGACTCATTTTTTCACTCCAAACGTCCATCCAATGACGCCTTTAGTAAAATTACATATATAGAGAGAGATATATAACAAAATTGGGCCTTCCATGATATTAAATAAAACGTAAAAAACGTTAAGAGGACACCAAATTGTCCACCTAATGACAAAGTCTACTTAATGACTCATTTTTTCACTCCAAATGTCCCTTTAATGACGCCTTTAGTAAAATATATATGTATATAAATTATATGTGTATATATAATTATTTTTTATATATGTGTATATATATATACAATTAGTAACGCAAATTTCATCAGGCGAGTCAATGGTGGCTCAACGTATTTTCCCCCGTTATAGGATCCGCGCATGTAGGTCCGAGCATTTTCAACTTTTTTCAAATGGGGGGGGGGGGGGGGGCAATATCATTTAGCATGGAAGATAATAGAAAGGCGTGGGTATTTTGAAAAACTCGTGCAAAATACTCTTATGAATCAACCAAAAAATAATGCGTGGAAGAAATAGAAAGGAGGGGATCGACGGTATACCAGTAGCGGCCGGGATGAAACCCCTATAGCCCTATCACTCCCTTCGGCCCCCTTCATCTGTGCCCGACTCGGCTACGAAAGCTCTATGAGTCACACCCTGCATCTGTGACATGAATGTTAATTATCATATGACAATTAACACGTATATAGCAACACGTCATTATTCACGCTCCAAATCGCCCAAAGAATAAGTCGTGCCAAATAATTTCGCCCAACTAAATAGAAACTGTAAATGATTGTTTAATATTAATATGTTAGCGAATAATGCCATGGCTCATGGGGTTAGCTCGACTTAACGAATTGGAAGGCAGAATATTTGAGGAGGTAGGCCTGAAGTATATGCATGTCAATGGTGGCACTCACTTTATAAAATTATGTCATTTGCTATCACACCTTAATTATTTTGTCATACTAATTCGGAGCTCATACCTCGATCCTTGGTCATATATTATCCATAATACATAAAAGGGATTTTTTCCTCCATTAGTTCAAGGTTTCGGTCTATTAGCTAGAGGATTCAATTTCTAGGTCATACATATCTGTAACAAGTTTACTTCGGGATTTCTTATAGTCCAAACACTCCCGATAACACTACCCCGAGCCGAGATTTTGACTTTCGGGTCGATCCATCAACTTGGTAACAGACGAATCGCCCAAGGGCGAGTTGAATAGTCCAGGGGCATATTCGAACTTTACAATCGTCCTTAGTACAACTCGACCGCACGCGTAGGTCGCTCTCAGCATGCACAGATGACGCGCTCTTCTCGTGAACAAGAACAAAATTCCGTCAAAATAAAATAACACTCTAAAACATACTAAACAAAGGATTGAAGGTCAAGACAGGAAGACGTCACTTTTTTGTCGAAAAAATAGATTATAAAATTTTGAAAATCATAGGAAGAAACAGTCCAGCGCAGAGCGCTGTGAAACTCACGTCAAGTAAGTGCTATCCCATGGCCATAGCCATAAAGGCATATATTATATTATTGGAGGTTGTCGGTTAATTTTTTAACCTGTTCATTCTTTTTGTATCTATTGTTTTTAATTAAAAAATCCGTCTGTAAAAATTCTCTCACTACGTGATCGCAAAGTCTTTAGAAAAATACAACCTGTAAGCCCGGCCCGTAAGGCAGTTTCAATACCAGCAGTCTTCTATGTTTCACTATATTCGAATAAAACAATGGATATACGTGACTCTATACATGATTTCAAAGGCAACAGAGAAGGTTACGGAAATTGGCCTTATGTTGATCATCTTAAATTATGGCGATTGTGTTTCTAATAATTATAAAGTCCATAAAAGCGGGGAAGGGTGCGTTTTCAGGGTGCAGATCGATAAAAGATATTGCAAGATTAGGAGAGTTTGGCCAACCCGCTCAAGTCGGGCACATTAATACTATTTTGTTTCGCAAGCCCGCCCCCCCCCCCCCCTCAATATATATATATATATATACAGAGTGATTCATAAAAAAATGGCCCACTTTTTAAAAGTTGTATTGTTTGAAGTATAGTATGAATATTTAATCATGGGTTTAATGATATGTCTCGATAGAGTTATCCTCCCAGTACCATTTTCATTTGAATCTCTACATGCATGACTGAACATCAAACAATCTTTACACGACTGCAAGATCTCACTTGCGTCAAGTTGCTGGGTGAGGAATAAAATAGTGTTTTGAACAAAGACAGCCAGACAGACAAAAAAACACACACGCACACACACATGCGCTCACCCACACACTCACACACGAACACACCCGCACGCACACACACACACACACGCACACGCACACTCACACGCACACTCACTCTGTATATACGCCATGTTGTGACCAGTTTGGCCAAACTCTGTGTATAATGACTCTGGTTTAGATGTGATTATAAAAATGTCGTTCGAAAGTGACCAGGCAAGAAGGGTGGCAGAAAAGTTGTCTGTTCAACCCTTAAAATTATTGTCAGAAGGCCTGCCATGTCCATCTCCTTTGCCGGCAGTCTCGTGAACGCCGAGGGTCAATCCAGCCTAATTCTTGCCGCATTGACATAAATCCATTTCATGACGCAGTTTTAACTTCGGTATACAAGTCTTACGGAATCATAGACGTACGATGAGGGTACAGGGCTTGAGGGAGCTGCAGGCGCGTACACGGGGGGGGGGGGGGGGGGGTGTTTAGGGGGTTACCCCCCCCCCCCTTGGTATTTTTTATGTGTGTATTTTGGAGGAAACCCCCCCCCCCCAACCGGAGCAAAATGTCAATTTTTCAAATTTCGAGACCAAAAAAAAAAGTGTCCTCTTACAGCCCCCCCCCCCCACCCCGCTGATTCAGCGGCTGGCTGAGCCGTTGCGAAATTTTCGGCCCGATTTAAAAATGTTAACCCCCCCCCCCCTTGAAAAAAATCCTGCGTACGCGCCTGGGGAGCTGCATCCCCCTCCCTCCCCCCCCCCCCCCCGCTCGACTTACTTTTGCAAGAGTAATCATTATCATTATACTGTGCTTGAAATAAGTATCAATATATTATGTTATACTCGCTCGTTATATTTGAAAGTGTAAAATCGTATTCGAGTAAGAAACTTCAGACCAACTTCAGACCCCCACTCTTACGAAATTGAAGCTGTATAGGCCCATATTCGCATGGAATGCAATTATGGGTAAGTCTTTTATTCAAATTAGGATGTTAAATACCAGATTGATATTCTAGGAAATGATGATATGAAACGTATTTTGTGAGTTCATGAATTAACCAATGCAGACACGATTCTCATCTTTTCATTTAAAAATAATTTTAAGTAGGCTATCATAAAATGAACTAGAAACAAAGACCATAGTATAACGTTTAAATAATTGTGGTATGTGTCGCAAAAAATAAATCAAGATTGTCAAGAAATATTAGATCATCAAGCAAAGCGTACACAGAGTAAACTTTTAAACAAAAGAAGTATAGTGATATATTTAAACATGAACTTTATTTTGTTTGAGCGTTTCATGACACAGAATAAAAGATTATATTCATCTATGAGTGCACTGTAAAACGATTTTTCTCTATATTATATAATGTTCATATTTCAAGGTTTGATTATTAACGTATACACAATTAATAAAGTCACTGGACATGTGTTTCAATAGGTTTCTGAGCCCGTAAACAATAAAGCACTAATGATACGTTTCTTTTGGTCAAGCGCAAAAGAGGATATTTCGTATAGTAGCTGCGATATGATTTATCATTTTGGTATGAAATGTTGCTACCATACAACCCAGGGGCGGATCTAGCTTTTTGCTAAGGGGGGGGTTGACCAAAATAATGACGATGCGGAGCATCGTCCACGAGCCGCGAAGCGGCGAGCCGATTTTTTGGGGGGTGTTTATTTGAACCCCGTAAGTGATGTTTTCCTGGCATCTATTAACACAATGGAGACCATAAAAAGCAGTGCATGATAACGTCTTTTTAAATCAAGTAACAGTTTAATACATAGTTATATCCAGAGTTATCATGTGTTTGGTTAAGTTACCAGATGAGTTGAATATCTTCTCACAATATTTGCACTTGAAAGGGTTTCTCTCCAGCGTGCGTTCTTTTTTCTTTCTTTTTTTCTTTCTTTTTTCTTTTTTTTCCCTTTTTTTTTTTTTTTGTTTTTTTTGGGCCGTCCAAGGGGGGGGGGGTTGCAACCCCCCAACCCCCCCTCTAGATCCGCTTCTGCAACCAGCAATAATTTTCATATTTCAAGCATTTTAATTTAAACGTATACATAGTTCATAACGTCACTGGACATAATAATAATAATAGTGATAATAATAATACTCAGTTTTTATATAGCGCTTCCAAACTTGGAGATTATTACGCGGCTTTAGCTGTGCTGCCTTTACGACGCTCTAGCACTCTAAAGAATTAATTCCTGCCAGGTACCCATTTACATCACCTGGGTTGAGTGTGGCAAATGTAGACCAATGTCTTGCCAAAGGACATTAGTGCCGCGGCGGGTCTCGAACCGCGGACGGACCGTCGACAATCCGGCGACTCATGTGATTCAATAGTTACTAAGCCCGTAAACGGAAAAGAACATGCAATAATAATACGTTTCTTTTGGTCAAGCGCAGAAGAGAATATTTCGTATATTAGCTGCGAAATGATTAATAATTTTGGTATGAAATGTTGCTACCATATAACCAGCAATGAGTATGAAAAACAATAGAAATGCAACTGTAAGATTTATTTCACAATTTTAGAAAGGTATCAACTGCCAGTCATCCCTTTTAGATGATCATTCAAATCAACGAATGTGTTACCAATTCAGTTACTAAAACAACCAGATATTCATTAGATCACTTACCCGAACGATAAATCAAGTAAATACATAGATAAAACATTCAATAAATTTATTAATCAATATAGTAAACAGTTAATTGATCCAAATGATCTTTCATTACCTATTAGAAACTAGAAACAGATTGTGACATCGAATGATACACTAAATAATGTTTAAAAATGTTACGACTCTTTGCCAGCATAAATTAAACGTAACTTTGTTTTTAGTTTCAGAATCAACAACATCATACATACAATAACATATTACTAAAACACAAGTGCGAAGACAGATCGGTGACAATTATATTTACAACTGCTCTAATAAAAAGTCCCCAAAGAAAAAAATAGCAACCATTCTTTTTTCAGCTACCATTCGTTGTTAAAATTTTCCAACAGGATAACAAAAAAGGTCAAGCAATGCATGATTTAAACATTTGAAGGGAAACCACGATTCTCAATCTTTTATTTGTTAACAGAGATTGTACCAAAAAGAAAAGAAGATTTGGTGACTCTTTCCCCTCCCTGTCTGTTCCTGCATGCATACGGTCTTTAATTCTAGTTTTAACTTTAATTTCCATTTCAAGGTAATTTATTTTGGTACCTGAATTATACAAATCTAAAGCATGATTAAAAAGGAATATGGCATAATATATACAATCCCGTCATTTGCTTTCTTTTCGTTATCCAAATAATTTGTACTTGAAGGGTGCATGACTCAAAAGCATGATACAATAAAAACAATAGAGGGAGCCCCATTGATTAATCTATATATATATATATATATATATATATATATATATATAATATATATACATAATTGATATGTCAGGTCTTCAAGGAAAACCAACTGCTTACAAGACCGAAAGCCTAGAAAGCTTGACAAATCGTATTGGTCTCTTGGGCTGTCAGTTTCGATGTCAGCTGGTCTTGTGAAAAGTCGGATAATATTCTTGTATAGATTTCCTGCGAGACGGTGTGTCTGGGTGTTGGTCTCGAGGACTGTAGCCATTTTGTTTTTTCTATAATTATATACACATATTTAAAGGCCTTCTGTACTAGAGTGGACAACAGGGATTAGACCACCCAGCGAGGTCACTGACAGGTGGCTATCTCATCAACTCATCTCACAATTAACATAAGAAAAAGAGGATCATGGGGGACCAACAGGCACCAATTAGGCATTGTTTTATATTATAGAGGGAGCAAGTAGCTACAATGTTGTTGTTGAGATTAATGGCGTTTCCATCGTCATTGCAAGTTGTCCAGTAGGCCTTTAATACTTCAATTCGTGTATTTCCTGGAGTAACCCCATAACCTTAGCGAGATTGATATTGGCCTGGTTAGGTTCATCGTTGCACTGCTCATCCGATACCAAATTGAACGTCGGAGGATCCAAAATCACAAAGGCCCTCTGGATTCTATTAGCTCCATCCTTTGAAATGAAAATCAAGTGAAATCAATTGAAATCAACAGTCACGATGACTAATACCATATCAAAAGTTTATAATATCAATAACAAGCACGCAACAAAGATAGCAAATATATTTGTAGAGCGCTTTGAGAGGGCCTTCGGTCCTGGAAAGCGCTATATTAGAACTAGCTATTACTATTATTATTATTTCTTCATTTTTGTTTATAATTCATAATATCCTTTTATTCACTGCGGTTATCTTTTTTGCCTTCCGTACACATCCAGATCGAGGGGACGATAGTCGAATTTTTGATATAAAATCAAGAGGCCTACAATGAATTTTATGTATCGGCTAGCACGGCCAAGAGAAGGATGAGTTAGGCTGTCAGCACATTTGTATTCTCACTAAGGTTTGTTCAGTTTTAATGGAAACATGAATTTGTTTCTACTGTTATATATTTATGTCGAAGCAGCGGGCCTTCTTTATATATTGATATTTTATTATTTATGGGTGAATAGCTGTCCAAGTGGCTGGGTTAGCACCCGTTGAACAAAGTAGGTAAAACCACACTATTCACTATACAAAAAAATCTGGTTGATTGATTAATTAATTAATTGATTGATATATCATCGGTCTAAATATATACTCTACTTTACTCACTATTTGAACGACAATGTTCTTTAAACATCCATCCACGGTGTTGCCAGCCTTTCTCAAGAGCGCATGTGATTGGCTAATGTCTTGTCCGATGACCTCAAGTTCTTGTCGGGTCAAGTCACGAGATTCACCCTTCAACCAGTGTTCAAGGTGCTGCACAACCGGGACGGGCCGAATAGTAAAAGGGGTAGCTATAGCCGTAGAAGAACCGTCTCCATCCCCAAAGCTGCTCTCTATATTTTACAAAAAGGAAACAACGAGCATAACACATTTAAAAGAAGTTGCATACAATTTTACTGAAGGGGGTGCTGCTTGTTCGTCGTTGTTTTTAGTCATATTTCAAAAATAAGATTTACTATTTTCATAAATATCCTATCGAGTCTCATGAGCTGCTCGGCCATTCATGTGAATACAGACGCGTAGGCAAGGGGGGGGGGGGGTGGGGGTCGAACCCCCCCCCCCTCATTTTTTTTTTTGGTGTGTGTTTTGGAGGAACTGCTCCCCCCCCCCCCCTTATTCAGCGGCTTGCTGAGTCGTTGCGAAATTTTCGGCGCGATTTTCAAATTTTGAACCCCCCCCCCCCCCCCCTGCGTACGCCCCTGTGTGAACACGACCGTATAGACTTTCAAAAATACCTTTATAATTCATCGTCGAATTAACATCATTGTCATATTCGCACATTGAACATTGTGATGCACAAGGATATTGATAGTGTCTAAGGTTGATGTGTTGAAAATCTTTGCAGTCACGTTTGTGGATGTTTTTAATGTAGGCATATAAGGCGATATAAATGGGATATTTAAAATGAATATGAAACGCTGGAAAATCATATGTAAAGTATTGAATGGATGGGATATTTAAAAAAATATGAAATAAATATTGAATGGAAATTACTTGAGACAGCCTCTGAGTACAGAGAGATAGAGATTCAAAGATCTTAGGATGCGGTGATCATTCATCACAATTCTGTCAGTAATATTTGATGCAGAACTTGCGTTGTAAAGTTGACCTCCAAATAATGGTTGTCTCCCTAATTGTTGATTGGCCAACAAGTTTTAGAAATGCAAAATGGCGTACCAATCGTTTTATTCGATTCTGTAACTGAATTGGCAGATTTCTTGGCCTTCTGTTTCTTCCCGTGCATACTAGAGAGTGTATAGAGGTAAGGGTTGAGAGATGAGTTGACAGGGAGGACGAAAACAGCAGTCCAGGCATACACCTATCAAAAGAATAAAAGCGAAGAAGACACTTTCATTAAGGAACAATCATCGAACAATCGAATTCAATGGAAAGACAAGCTCCGAGATAAGCCGAGAGCAAAACATCAGATTTCAGCAATGACTCTATTATAAACACATCACACAAATAGAAACAAATATAAATGCATTCGTTTATCTGCTAATTATTTTAACATTAATACATTTGTATTTTAACCTGTGTTCGATTGTGGTAATGAATAGTGATTATGGAACCAAGGTCAAAGCTTTGGAGCATCATTTTTACTGGAATCAGATATCTTATTTAACACGTTTCTTATATCTGCTGCCTCGTACTTTGGAAATTCGAAGTCTGTAAGATATGAAAGAAATGCACTCCTGACCGAAAAGGATTTTTGCATTCCACTCAGCCAGAAATCATTTACAGTTAGCGTTTTTTTTAATTTAGTTGAGTATGTAATGTTAGTTACATATAATTTTGTGGGTATTCACCTGAGCCGATATAGTAAGTTTCCCTGCCGCTGACAAGAGACCCATGACGATGATCGGGAACCAGCAAATTAGATCAGTTCCGACAATCAGTGACATCTTCCATGCCAACTTCATATCTTCAGTGAGTCTTTTGTCATCTCTGGATCCTTTACCTGTCTGAGCAATCATCTGTTTGGACTGTTGATAGCGGATGTACATAGCCAGGTAACAGAGCAGGGTCACAAGGAAGGCTACAAAATTGGCTCCAATGAACAAGGAGATTGAGTAATGCCATCCTGCAGGACGGTCAACGGTCAGAGGCAGAGCCAAACAGACCCCGGACTGTCCGTAGAAGTTGCCTTTGCTGTATGCTGGGATTACCACAGGTAGGACGCTAACCAGAGTTCCGAGACCCCAGATGATTAGCTGAGAACATCGAGCAGCTGTGGGGGAGAGATGGAGTCCTTGTTTGAAGGGGAGAAGGACGTGAATGCACCGGTCAACACTGATCATCATGATAAACATGACAGAAGCCTCACTTGATATGACCGAAAGCATCCCCGCCACCTTGCAGAGGGCGCTAGACTGCCATTCATCAGCATGCAAGGCATAGTTCCCCCTGTAGTAGATATCAGCAGATGCAATCGTGATCATGTACAGACCCATCATAAAATCAGAAATGGCCAAATTCGTGATGAAACTGGACTGAACAAAGGTTTTTCTGTCTTTCTTTTGATTGAATACCCTGTAGGCGAAGACGAACCCGTTTCCGATGAAAGCACTGCCTCCTAGAATCCAGATGAAAATCCGTAGAACTCCACTGGCCATGAGTTCTTCGCATGATGAGAATTGATCACGTGGTGCATTGCATCCGACCGAATCCACCAATCCAGCGAGACAACAAAAGACGTAACGGTCAGCATGTCTATTGAAAGAAATATGATATATTGGTTACGTTTAGAATCAATAACATGCTGACTTGAAAGTATAGTAAATATAAAATAAAACTACGTCAAATTTACTAGGACCCTACTAAATTTTGCTGATTTTCTTAAAGATTGAGGCATCATTAGTAAATTCATAATTGCATCATTATCCTTGTTTGTACATGTATATTATGATACTTTCTACTATTTACTATTAACTATTAACTATAAATTCCATTTAAGTAAAAACAAAAAAGTAATGTGGAAAGATGACATTTTTGACGAGTCTTACAACCGTTTTCTCAAAATATCTGATACGTGACCTTTCCATGCTTATACATTTTCCTTTTATAGTGAAAAAGCAGTAAGTTGCACGAAATGATCAAAAGAACTCTGTTCCTGGAAGAGTTTGGAATATGAAAAAATAAGTATACAGGGGAAATGGACGCTATAATGGTAATCCAAACACGAACTTTATCTTTATCTTTTGGGCCACGAATACAGGATTGTCTTTGATCTCTAATGATTTCGGATAGGTTTTTTTTGTGGATGTGACTGGGTCATATATACAAGCATTGCACTTAAATAATAAGTCAAGAGGCAGGTACCTTATTCATTTTAGCAAATAATGATTTAATGACACAGCTCGACGTTTCCTGACACTTTCCTCAAGAGCAAACTTTTTTCAAATTTTTTTTCAAAATTTTTACATCAAATAATCGGCCAAAACTAATAAATAATTGGCCAAAACGCATAACATTCCTGTGTCTTATTATTTCTGTTTCATCAAACCGTAAACATGAATTCTGCAATCATTGAACGGTCTAGTTTATATTAGATTTAAGAAACGAACATATGCTGTAGGTTCTCCAATCCTAGGAACATATCACGTCCTGTGTCTGTTGTGACGGTGATGTCGGTTCCACGAAGATCCCTGAAAAGAAATCCGTAAATCAATTTTATTCGTTTAACACGATCTCCAAATCTTCTCGGAAAATCAACCTTTCAAACAGCGATTCATTATAACCTAGGTCATCGCCCATTTAATGGTTTTGAACACTATACTGTTGCCGTATTATGTATTACATGTAATATCATTTCTATGGAATACACAATAGGGTACTGAAATTGCCTTTGAATTGATTTCTGGAAAGACTTGAGACTGTGTGGCGAAATGGCATTACAAGCTTATGTGGGTTACACAGTTTTTCAGAGTACAAGTAGTAAGCATTTATAATTGGGCAATATTCTACACATCTTTGGCTATTTAGATGCCGTGGTATAGTGGTTGATTCGAATAGAGGAATCGAATCCCAGCCCAGCACTAACGTCCTTTGGCAAGATATTGATCCACACTTGCCCCTCTCTATCCAGGCTGAAATGGGTACCTGTCATTTGCTGAGGTATTAAAAATTGCAGGGCCTTCAGTTAAAGCAGTATAAATATATTTATTTTTATTTTAACATTATAGATAACAAATAGGTTACATGAAAGATCTAATTAGATAACGGTTCTTACAATTCTTGGAGAAGGGTGAGATTCCCAAATGCCCCCGCCTCGACTAACGTGAGTGGATTTTTGGAAAGGTTTCTGAAAGAGATTAATGACAATAGAGTACAGTTTATTTATCATAAGTCGATCGCACTAAGAATGGTTTCACAAAGCAGAGACGATGGTTTTGCTGTTTGAAATCAAACAACTGTACCATTTTTCATTTAACAAAAATGTAATCGGAATTGTTCCATTTTCGAATGCTGCCACATTTCCTGTGCTGTCAATGGATGGAACTATACATTTACAAAGCTCCAATGTAATACCGATGTTTCCTGCTCTCTTTGAAATTTTATCGGAATCTTGCGTAGCTAGACTTTACTGAGATCAAAGGAGAAAATCCATCCAAATCAAAACGTAGGAGTGAGAGCTTTGAAGCTATATTGATGATAATAAAGTAACGTCATAAAGGTATGAGCCTTGGTTAACATGAATTCACAGGTTGATACTTACAACGTCTTCATACGAAAAAGACCATCAAAAGTACCTCGAAATAGACTGCGAATACTGTTCCTCGCCAAATTCCTGCAATGAAAAAAAAACACATTGGTATATACATGCATATATATCCCGGCATAAATGTTGGTAAACTGTACCTAATGTTGCCGAGTTGTGGTCATCACACTGTTCTTACTACCTGTATGCCTCAATTCTCCAAGTGCCAACAGTGTGATTGTATAAACTCTAATTACACTGTGGAACCATTATCCATAATTCTCCCCGTGATCACAGTGATGACACACATCCTGATCACACTGTGGTATCTATATATCACAGCCCATATAATGATCACTTTGTATGTAGTACCTGTATTCCTCAATTCTCCAAGTACCCACAGTGCGATTGTATTCGTTCTGATTACACTGTGGTACCTATATTTCACAGCCATCCCAGTGACCACAGTGGTTAGATGTATTCTGGGCTCCGTCTTATAAAGAGTTACGATTGATCCAGATCGTGCTAATATTCATTCTCGTCATGCTGTCGTTCCAATATTCCACAATTCTGCCCTTCTGGTGGACACAGTGTGATTGCAAGCAGTCCGTGGTACCTATATCTCACAGTTCTACCAGTGATCAGTGTGTTAATATCCAATATCGTCACGCTTCCGTACCAATATTCCACAATTCTCTTAGTGGCTACAATGGTCACATTCATTTTTACCACACTGTGGTCTCTTTATTTCACAGTTTTTTCGGTAGCCAAAGTGTGATAAATTTTACTCTGTGGGCATCAATATTCGTTAGGTATTAAGTTAAGCTCGTCTAGTGACCACAGTAGACCCATTATTATTCGTTCTCCTAAGATCCACAGTGTGACCAAATAAGCATAATGGGTCATGCTGTATTGAGAACCGTCCATGTAGCCATAGTGTAACACACTGACAATTATTTTGATATTGCATTTTTCTTAAATGTTATTCATTCTTAGTATCAAAGTTTGGCTGCTGTATGTTAACAAGGATTCTGGCATACCATTTGCCTCCTGCAGATCCGGTAGATTTATCGATCATTACCCGGATGTTCATTAGAAGTACTGTGGCTCTAAAGCGACGTTCTCGGTGAAATGCCAGTAGAAATGAAAACCTCTAGTACACAATACACAGGATCGTAAAGGACTACATACTTACAAATTCAAAAGATTTTTGTTTTCCAGAAATGAACCTTGTTGAATTTCTTCCAGAAATGATGCTTCCAAGTACCTGTAATTTATTCACAAATTAAAACCGGTATGTCCAATTATCTGTATCAGGTTGACAAAAAAAACCATTAACGAAAATCGTTTTGTTCTTTTTGTATCGTCACTAAGTCTTTCAAAAAGAAAAGAAGAGGAAATAAAATTAAAACTTAATCATACAATATCGCACATTGCTTGGCAAAGCACTTTCGTGTTGATATTGGTTCTGCGCCTATAATAATACAAAACAGTAATAAGAACAATACTAACAACAACAATCCTACTACTACTACTACTGCTGCTAATGATGCTGCTGCTGCTACTACTACTACTACTACTTCTACTAATAATAATACTAATACCAATAATAATATCATAGGATTCATAATACCTCAGTCACACCAACGCGACCGACCCCAGACAGAACAAAAATTACATTACCATCAGTGGCCAAGAATCGTTCGGATTGGGATCGGTGTGGAGTCGGGTTGGCGGTGTGACTAAGGTTAATAAAGGCCCAGATCGACCACTCGAAATCATTTACTTAAGGTGCACAAAAGGAAAAATCGCAAAAAGCACTTATACACAAAATAATAATTAGTCAAAGACCAAATTAAACGGATACTTACAAAGAAATCAAAGACGGCATCACTACGGGCATGAGTTGATTACGAGTCTCTTCTGTGACGTCATCATTCGTCACAATCCGCAATGATGAATTGCACGGGCCAGCTAGCCCATCGCAGATCAGAGATCTAAAGAAGATGATGGGTATAATATGGGTGAGTCTACACTGCACAAACAGGGAGATTTTAGGGATTAAACGTATTTTGTTCAAATGTCTGAGGACACCGGTACTTAAAAAACATGGACTAAGTAAAATGGAATGAAATAAAAACCTAAGTATCATCATATTTGGCTTCATGCTTAACTCAGAGCAATAACTTTCAAATCAAATCAGTTTATTTCTGTGAAAAACTGCTCCGAAACTATAGATTTTCATATTTCATCTTTTCATAAAATAAATCAGTTCAAATATTACATACCGCAATGATTGTGTGTACACAAGTGCATAACCTTGTAAATAAAATCTTGTGAAATATATATATTATAAATTATTTACAATTTTCTGAGCTGGCGGGGAAGGAGCTTAAGAGCGACCTGGTCCGGATGGCAGGAGTAGGATAATGCATCACACTTACAGCCTTGAGGGCATTGACCTGTTGGACAAACAAAATCCAATCCATTAACATGTTAATTCAAAATACCAGTATTGACAATATTTTAGTATTTCCTGACAATGATAATGTGTTCAGCATACATATATATATTATCATTCTATTGTTAATAGTATGATGTTATTGAAGTACCTACTTGACTACGTCATGATATATTTTACGCATAAAACTACGCGTATATATTACCATTATTCTTTTTTTTACCAATCATGCTAATATTAACAATATTTATCATTTTCTGTTAACAGTTTTTTATACAGTAATGTAAGTTTTCAATGTAAATTTTTACCACATTGACTACCGTACCCGAATCTGTACTACTTGATCAATATTCACTAATTCATTTATTTATTCCGTCGTTGTTGCTGTTGTTTTATCATTGTTGAAAGGGTAAGTGGTTTGATATTTTAACTAGAATGTACACAAGCCTAAAGTAACAACATTCAAATTAAATATACACGTCATTTGCTGTACAGGTGTATGAATCATACCATAATTATGTTCATTTCGGAAAAATAGTGAATATCACATACCACAAAATTCCTCATCGTCTTGTTTGGGACAGTGTATGATGTCATCGCACACGTGATCAAGACCGATACAATAGTGTTGCCCATGACATCGGTATGATCCATCCGGGCATTCATACTGATCTAAGTTTGATGTATAAAGCGGTAGAGGTTCAGTAATATATAAAACAGAAATATACATTAACTCTTTATAAACCACTAATTCTCCATTTGCCACTTTGAATTTTTCATGGCATAGATATACCAAAATCTTCGAGATTCTTTTCTTTTTCTTTTATGGACCTTAGAAGCTGCTTAATGGATTTCAAAAGATGGCAAAGAATATTTCTACAAAACCTAGTTTCACAACATACTAAGAGCTCGGGCTAAACAACTACGACGTAATTAAAGGTTTTAAAAAAACCTTTAGGTTCTCGAATTCGAACCCCAAATCAATGATATCGTTCAACCTGTCATGTCAATATCTTTCTGCAAACTTTAACAAAATGGCTCTGCGAATTTCTTTCGAATTGCCAATCGACTAGTGTATACACATATTATTATAATTGAATCCATCCATCTAATCTAATGAAAATCGTTGACCAAAGTCACCGCAAAAGGCTTCATCTTCTCCGGAGGGGCAGTCCATTTTCCCGTCACATCGATATCGGAGGGGGATGCAGTAAGAGGAGGGGCACTTTAGGTATGACTCCGGACACTCAAAATCATCTGTATAGAACGAAAAATTTTGAGAATATTAACTGAGAAACAATGCGTGATACACGCAAATGCGTAATATTTTTGACAAAAAAGTTTAAATGACCTGTGAATTCCTATAAGAAAAACGACTACGCCCTTCTTTTCCTTGATCTGTTTTTATGTATTATAACTGAATTTAAGTTCTTACTGCGGCTGTAAATAAACTCTTGGAAACAAGCACTTTATGAATGATAATTTTTAGGCAACATTTCCAAGAGCAAAGAAATGCCTTACACTTCAAAGTCATTCTTAAACTCGAAAAAGATATTCTCATGCTGACAAAAACGGATAAAATAAATTATATAGCTTTTTAGAATAAGCGTTTTAACACTCGTTAATACTGCTGGACATCATTGAAATTAAAATGGCGCCTACCACATGCTCTTAAATGTGTGACGTCACGACATCCGGCGAAGAAGCCATATTCATCTAGTTCATAAAGACATCGTGATGAGTGTGATGCGCATGCTCCGTTATTGCACACGATATCTGTAGCCGAATCACAGGCATCATCCGGATTGCCATAACCTGTACCAAAGACGTGAATAATCGAAACATTTAATCTGGGCAATTGACCTATGTGGGCTTTAAGTACAATAATAAGGTAACACTTTGAAGAAGGAGAAATACAGTGGATAGTATGCCTTATCTAAAGACCATTTCGTCTTCCCTATAATCGATTTTCAGGTGGAATAAAAAATCATCAGAAATGAGGAATAACGATCACATGACAACCACAAGCTGGCTTATTTTTAATTTTTTCATTTGTTTTGCCCTAGGGGAAATTAATATTGATTTACGACGATAAACACACTATTTGACCGGGCTAAATACTCAGTGGTTGTCCGGGTACAAGTAATCCAGTGGAAGTCATCCGGATTGGACTTGGTAATGTAGGAGATTGAAGAGTGACACGTACTCACCACACTCATATTCATCCTCGTTCGTATTTCCTATGCAGTCTATTACCCCATCACATTGTACCTTACTTGGAAAAAGCGAGCCGTCGTAGCACTGAAAGGCCGAAGGAGAAAGCTCCAACACTGTGTCGGGGGGGGGGGGGGGGGGGAGAAAAGATAGGATAGTATAAAACGTATACCTAGAATTTTGTTAATGATAGTGTGGATTGTAGAATTTAAATGCATCCCCTTACACATAGAATAGTGTGAAGATGACAAAATAGATTGCCCACAATATATCTAGAATAGATCGGTTTTACGGCGGAAAAAAGGTTAAGCGTCACTTCGTTAGAATATTGTGAAGTTGACAATATCAGCCGACAACCTCTAGGACGTGTTCTGGCAGAGAACCACTAATTCACAATGAAGTTTAAGAATTGACCAGATTAGAAAGCGCTTTTTATGTTTAAATTGTATTCCTTTTTTACATTTTGTTTAAACCACGTCACTTTGCCTCGTTTGCATTCTTGAATAAATTATTTAACGGCAAGGTATTGAGATAGAACTTATTTTTGTTAATGTGGAATGTCATAATAATTTAATGACCGAACATGGAAAATACAGCGATTTTTTTTCTTTTACCATAAAATTATCTTTTCATTGTTAGATCTACATCGTCCGCTATGGTTCAACGTTTATTTGGTCTGAAAACTAAATGTATCGCTTATACCCTAACTCCGTAATCACAATAATATGGACCAATAGGACCAAAGACTAACTTAAGACCTATAACCTACAATCACATAACACTAAACTGACGTATAAATAACGAAATAGGGCCTGTATGGTTATGTAGATCCACCGGACAATCCAAAATGGTTTTGTGGTATTTAACATTCGACATTTGTATTATAGTGTATGAAGTATAGTTATTACCACATCCATCTTCATCTGATTTATCGTAACAATGGCTGATGAAATCACATCTCTTGCCGGCTGGGATACACTGACCATTGCTACATGCAAACTCATCTTCAGTACAAGGCGGTAAGGCTGAAAGAAAAGTAAAACAGGTTAACAATGTCACATTTCCATGAGCATGCTTGTTGTTAACTTTGCGTGAGATACGAAATTTCATCACAAGCTTGTAGGCTCTGCTGTAGCACTTGTTGTTGGAGTCATTGAGGTTTTGGAAAATTAATTTTGCTTAAAGGTATACGTTTTTGAGAAAAAACATGAAAATTAGGTGGATACTGATTTTTTACAATTTTGATATATTATGATGCCCCTGTGGATGTGCTATAAGCACTAGAAAATTTACCGGTGGTCCCGTCGAATTTTGATAATATTCCAAATAGCGCCTACGGCCGTACAATGGTAGCTGCGACCATGAAAATATCAGAATATGTAGTTGTGATATACAATTTCCAAACGTGAATAGCTAAACGGTCGATTTTAGTGAAGAAGCATTGTTTTATATAGCTTAATTAATATCTTGACCTTGAGAGGGAACTATACAACATAAAGTTTATGATTTACAATTTCATAACTTTAGATTCGATTTCAACCGCGACAACGATCACTGAATAGAGTAGGATCGCATATGCTTCCAATATGTTCATTTGAACCAAATTCATGATCCCATACCAAAACTTTGTATTACCTTTAACTGGGTCAGCGCGCACTAGCGTTCGCGAAACAGACCGAAGTTCTCCTCACGCTTCGGTTTCGCGTATGTTTGCACGCACGTGAATGCAGCGGTCGCGTCGTCCGTAGTCGCATTATACCCGATTGGCCCCGAGTAGGGCCACGGGAAAGACACATGACACACTCCCTTTAAAAGAAAAGAAAAGAAAATCTCACTTACCACATTCACTTTCATCTGAGTTATCCAGGCAATGCGGGATGGAATCGCAATAAAAGGATATTGATATGCATGACCCGTCACTGCATCGAAACTGATCAGAATTACAAACTGAATCAGAAGAAAAAAAGTTGAATATTATTTTTGATAAATCTTTGTCTAGTACGTTGTTCCTTAATTTATCGATTATCAATTTCTTTCAATGCTAACTCAATAAGAATGACATACAAGAGTGTCAATATTTCGAAATTCTTGACATGTTAGAGTTGAGGCTTTAGAGTTTTGTATTGTATTGTATTGTATTTATTTATTTACGGTAAATATCCACAATCACCATCCACCTTCGAACCAAACAGCTTTTCGGCGGTTCCGCGTGCACTTTGTTTAACAAAAAACAGGTAAAATGAACATAATCGTATTAGCAAACAAATAATTTATAGAACAAATTTAGATATCTACAATAAAATATTTGAGAGAAAACTATAAACCACAAACAAAGAATCAAACTGTGTATTTAGTTATCGTTACCTTAAAGTGGCCCGGGCTACTTCTTTTTTTTCTGATCTTTATAATTTTTAGCGCTTCCCTATACTAGTAGGTATACAATTGTGTATCATAATGAAATCCTGTTAACACCAAAACGTACCACAGGAGAAGGATTAGGGACCAACAAATATGTAAATTTTTTTGTAAGGAGTCATGAGAATTTGAGATTTTGGATTTTATAAGTGAATTGCTTTGATTTGATCTGTACTTTACCTTCTTGACAACTCTCTTCATCGCTCCCGTATAAACAGTCCGTTACTCCATCACAAACAATTGCCTTACTGATGCATTCACCCGCAGAACATTGGAAAAGTCTAGTCCCGCAGTACCTGACAGAGTCTAAATGAAGCAATAGAATGGTAAATTTATTTTCCACTTTATCAGATACTACATTGCAACTGAACATAATATTAATAATAATAGTGGGTTCTTGTATAGCGCTCATGTCAGTCAGATTTGACCCTGCTGGCGCTCCCGATTATTACCCTGGCTTTAGCACGGCTGCCATACGGCGCTCTAGCATTTCAAGGAATAAATTCCTACCAGGTACCCATTTATTTCACCTGGGTGGAGTGTGGCATGAGATGCACATCGTAAAAGTTTCACGTAATTATGAAAAACATAGAAGTAACTGTTAAAATATTGTACTAAAAATGAGACAAGCGCCGTGTAAACAAGATAAATTGGACGCCGATCTATTAAGAAAGCAAGACGTCGTTCGACGTAAAGGACAGGGGTTTATAGGTAACGTTTATATATATTTTGTATATAGATTAGCGCGTAAAGAATGGTAAAATCACATTGTATTAGAATATTAAGTATGCGTAAGTTTTGTATACTATTCAAAATACCGTTCTTATTATAGCAATTCTAATTGTTATTTCACACATATATAATAGATTCCACTCGAAGTCTTTCAATTGAAAGTGCGAAATTATCCATCAGAAATGAAATTTAAACGTATTATGACCATGTTTTGCTACCTACTAGAAACAAAGCATGGAGAAGTATCTTACCTATTGATGGTAAATGTATTAGTAATTCCCCTGATAGATCTGTGAAAAGAGTAAAAGTAAACCAAGGAAACAAACTATTATAGCATACAGATCACGTACTTTTCGACATTTTGAAAAGAGAACTTTTAAAACTAAGTCTGTAACTATGTACATTGTACCATGAATATGATAGGCAGACCGAAGATTAGTGCAAATAAGAGTCACTTCTTATTCTTACACAAAATTGTGTGTGTGTGAGTGGAGGTGTAAGTGTGAGTGTGTCTTGGTGTATTTCATATATTGGGATACTCGTACATTTTTCAAGCAATGAAAATTGTCTCGTTTAACTTTTTGCTACACCATCTCATAGATATTCCAAAAAGTGGTATTAATTTACATCGTACATGTATATATAATTGTGGGGGTGGGTGTGTGTTTGTGTGGCTAGATTAAATCACTGTACCTGGCGTTCCGGATGCTTCTGTTTCACATATGAACTGCTTTGTTTCAGGAGATGCACACGCTACATCATGCCAGAGATTGGTCGACAGATCTGTCGAAGTGGCTGAATCGAAGACTAGCATCGTGCATGCTTCCAGTAAACCTCCATTAGGCTGTCTGTCACCTCCTGCTCCTCTGAAAATTTATCAACAATTTATTTACAATTTTCACGTTATTTTAGCGAACATTTCTTTCTGAAATGCAACTTTTAATACGAAAATAGTAATAAAGTCTTCAACTTATCAAAACATTAATGTGCCAAAAAAAATATTCGTGCGATTCTATTATAAATATATTATGTAAGAAGCAATAGAAGAAGGTTATCATTCAAAATAGTGTGTACATGGGATGCTTTGGTACACCTGCACTTCGTGGTTCGGTATGCGCCTTCGACTTTATTTCGCTGACTGAACAAGAATATTGTTTAAACGTAATCCATATATCCTACATAGAATATACTGAGCTGAATCACAGAAATGATTCAGAAAAATGAATACAATTTAATAAAATAATTAGGACTATTTACTTTTAAACAGGATACAACTTACATAAGGTTTAAAAATAACAATTTTATGCGAAATATTACTTTCCATCACGTGACTTACTGAGGAGGACTGTACCAATCTGTGTAAGACATAGGGGTGCCGTCATTCCAATAGAAAACTCCACGTTCATCTCTTCTGCCGAGACCTACGATCAAAACGTGCGAACAGTTCAGTCGTCAAATTTAGTCCATATTTTTAAAAATTTGCCTCTTAAAACAAAAAATGCTTTGCAATTCTGTAATAACATAAAGACATCATCTGAGCAGAAGAGAAGCAATATGATTGGTCCACTTTGGATACTTCTCGCAAGGTCTGCTTGCACGACCATGTGTCAACCATCTTGACAATTATTTGCTAATGCATGAAGTGCTCGCAATTGCACAAGCCACGAAGATTCAAGAGGGGTCGATTGAACAGTCAGAGAGACGGTCGCTTTTGGAGGACAATGGATACCTTCCGTTTACAAGAAAGTTTCGCAATAAGTAAACACCGTTATCCATATCAATTCCTTTCATAGCAAAAGCGCTCCTCACAATTTCTGTAAATTTGGCAGTTTAACGATACGCGTACCGCCTTGACCGGACTGTGCGGTATCTGTGCAGTTCTGTGAGTAGAGAGGTCGGGCTGTATTCATTATTTCTTTGGGGTGCATAAATTGCTCTAATTATACGTACGCGTGTAATGCGCAAGTTTATTGTGACGGCACTAAACCCATCCCACTAATTGTTCCCCTATTTTCATAATGGTACTGAACCAATGAAATGTAGTGCAGTGCGCTCGTACGCGCTGCGCTGCGTGTGTACATGTACTGTACTTATGCATGTTCAGTTATATGTGTATGCATAGCATTACGTACATGCATACAGGGCTAGCTGGCACAAAACCCTGGGTCGGGCTTCTAAAATGGGACATGAAGCATGATTTGACATGAAAATTGACGGAGCTAAAAATGAGTCAATCAAAATGAAATTTATATGTATGAAAAGCTTACGTATCATATGTCATTGTCTGTGATTGAGGATTTACAAATTTGACGCAAAACGCGTTGCTGCAAAGTTAAAGATTGGTTTATTGAAAGGCAATCGAGCACAGTGCGACCGATCCATTGACATTGTGTATGAGAGAGTAATTTTTTTTAAATGGATTGTAAAGTTCAACGTCAAAGTGACGGAGGTTTTTTTTCAAGTAAGGGCATGGTTTTACATGGAATGTAAAGGAAATGTTTCCTTCTTCTCATATCTCGATTGAGGATATTATTCTCAATTTCGATTTTTAATGGTAAAGAAAAGTGTAAAAAGATGTCGAGAATTTTACCATATGTCATGTAATATAAAATGCGCGCGGGTCGGTTGATCTCCCAAAAGGAGCGCGAAGGAATTGATATGGAGCCACGCTGCCCAATACGACCCTGCGTAAAGCTGTATAATGTATGGCAGTTGCTGTTCCGAGCAAACTATATCAAATGTGTCCAAGCGACGTAACGATGTTTTATCATAACTTAATCACAACCATTAAATAATTAATGAATGATACATATTTGGAAAGCTTAGAGTCTCCTCTTTCAGTTGATGCTACTCATGGTTCACGCATGAGTGATTAAAAGCAATTTGAAGGAAGGAAACCAAAAAGTAATTTGGCGGGCGGTATCTGAATTTCAAAGAAAAATTCATATTTATAGAAAGTTCATTTTCTGCTCTTTCATATGATACCTCAATCAAGAAAAATAAGCCAGGAATAACAAAGTTCTGTTTGTTTAAAGTAGCCCTTACATTTTCATAATTTTAACAAACGAATTCGTTTTCACTGGGGGCCTGCCGAAGCAAAAAGCAGATTTGACAAAAGACTTAAGTCCGTTTCGTTGACAATCAGCCATGCATGAAGACTCTCGTCTACGAGCAGAAACTCAACTTTCTAGAAATGTGAATTTTTCTTCGAAATTCAGATACCGCCCGCCAAATGTCTTTTTGGTTTCCTTCCTTCAAATTGCTTTTATTCACTCAGGCGTGAAATATGCATTATCTGAGTAGCATCACATGAAAGAGGAGACTCTAAGCTTTCCAAATATGTATCATTCATTAATTATAGTTGTGATTAAGTTATGATAGAACATCGATACTTCTCGGTTTCGTTTTTTCTGGGACGCACTGTGTATACAAAAGATTTTCAAATTTAATTCATATCTGTCATGTTTCATAGGGATGCGTGCAGCGGTGGAGTGAGTAGCGTGGCTGAAAAATAAGACGTCTTCACTGGCCATCGCATAACTATCTTGCTAATGAAGGGCATTCTCTTTCCTCAAAACACGTCCGTCTCTCCGCACTATCTGTACTAGTTTAAAGGAGGGTTAAGACCACTCTGCAAGGTCACTGGACAGGTGGTTATCTCATCAACTCAGCTCTTAATTAACATAAGAAAAAGAGGATCATGGGGGACCAATGGTCACCGATTAGGCATTGTTTTCTATATAGAGGGAGCAAGTAGCTACCAGTACGACAGTGGGGCTTTAAAGATCGTCATAAAGCACAGAGTGGCGATGATCAAGATGTTAAACAGAGACCAAAGAAGTACCAATGCATGCTCTCAAGAGGTCTCGAGACATATATAGTGACTGTTATATGTTAAAGCAAAAGACTTTTAGGTACACCTATACTTTCCTATATACGTCTCGGTCTCTGTCGCGTCCCATTGGGAAGAAATCATATAATGTAGAAAGACCATCTCGTCCTCATCACGAATGCTGACTAGATGACCCTTAGGGTTCTCCTGGCATAACAGTTCTGCCTCGTTCCATGTACGTGCTTCTGAGTTGATATAGAGCCGGTAACACGAGCCTTGGAAAACATCCCATCCATCAGGACATGTGTGATCTATATTTCGAATTAAAAAAATAAGATATAAGGTTATAAAACAAATGGTTGAAACACAAAAAAATCCCAGGATGGAATTGGTCAAATGTCAACGGTTGTTCCGGCGACAATTTCTCCGCGGTCAGCATCCTACAAAAAGCGCATTCCTAACCTGAACCTTGGATCAAGCATTACACCTAGTCCTAACCACAAACCTAATATAAAGCCCAGTTGCAACCCTAACTCTTTCTCTACATCTTTGGTGAAAGAAAAGCCCGGAGCAAGTGTCACATGAGCACACGTCGGGTCACCATGGCAACACACTATTTAACCGTTATAAGGGGTAATGTTGACGATTGTTGAGACCCATTAGCCACCTGATACCAATAATCGAGCCAGTAAGGTATCGAAGCAGGTGACCCAAAGTCGCTCAGTATATATCAGAGCAGAATATATATTCTGTAACCCAGGTGACATAGTTGCAATAGTAATGAACTGGAACTATATTGTCTCCTGGATTATACTGATGACCCAGTAAGATACTGTAAAACTAGTCGTCCAGCGCGCGCGCGCTACTCAGCTACTGTAGATCACCGCCTCTGGATTATATTCTGTAACAGTAACTTACTGTGGAAGGCTTGTGCGGAATACGCGTGCGTACCATTAGGCAGCCTGTGCCATATCCTGCATGCTCGACCGGCTGTAGCGGCGGATCCAAGAGTTTTTTTTTTTAAGGAGGGGCATGAAGTGTTATATCGGCATGGGTCCCGGGCCAAAGGGCCCCGGAAAAAAATTGAACTATAAGATGCTTTAAGGTACATTCTGAGGCATTTCTGAATGCGTAAACTGAACATTTATTTGAAAATTCTGGGCTTTTCCCTGTTTTTTTTCGGAAGGAAAAGGGGGCATGCACCCCAACGCTCCCCATGGGTCCGGCCCTGGCAAGGCTAGCTAGCTCGACGCGATCCGGCAGGGCTAGCTCTCTGCAGTACGCCCAGGACTGGCGTCGACCGCCGGCGCCGCCGCTAGACCCGCCAGAGCGCCTAGCTAGATACCGTACCTGCAGCTAGCATCAGCTACAGTTTCAGCTGGTCGGCGCAGCTTTTTAGCCTTGCCTATGCTGCTGGTGGTTCCTTGTCTTCACTCCAAAAATATCTACAATGTATACCGTAAGTTTTAAATATGTCTATAGATATTCATCTTAGAGGAATAATCGATAAGGACTAGATCTAGGCCTAGTCTGATATTGTTTGAAAAACATTTGCCTTTGTATTTCATGAATAGTCCCAAATATAAACTTTTCTGTGTGTGATTCCATCGTTATTTGTGTGTGTGTGTGTTGGCAATTTTTCTACGAAAAAGTGTTGTACAATCAAAATTCATCCAACTTGAGCATACCAAATTCCACTTCACACTCCTATAATTTCAATGCATAAGGTCTAGCCATTAATTAACCGGTATCAACCTCATGAAAATCATTGGATTTTACTAAGTTAAACTAACAAATTACTTTTCCACACACTGGCATGCATGATCTAACAGGTCTACAAAACGAATACCGGTAGCCTAGATCTAGATCTAGATCTAGGCCTACTAAATTATAAATAGGAGAAATTGTAAATTATTGTTCAATTGAATATTGAATATGAATCACGATGCTTCAAAATCATACTGCAGTTTAAATAACCTAAAAAAATCAGTTCTCTTATTTAATTTCATGATTCACACTCACAGCTCAAAATCCCGTTGAAAAACTGAAGAAACTGCCCCTTGATTTTATTCCATTGCACTTTGTTTCACTAGCGTTTGCGCATCGATAGACTTTATGATAGACTCTGTCTAGATCAACAGAAAATTCAAAGAAATTTTGGGCAAATCTTGATGAAACTGCGGCTATTTGTGCTGCTCACTCTCCTCATTTGGCATGTTTGGCGCTATAGCCAATGTACTATGTAGGTATTTAATTTAAAATAATTATTATAAAGTCAAAATGACTAGTATATTGTCTACACATTCTTGGCATGCTTGTGAAATATTCCACCACTCATTCAAGGACTCTGCACAGTAAAGCCTAACGGTTCATTGTGCGCAATGCTTGCACATGTTATGTCTGTAGATTATATAGGCCTACACGAAGAAAAAAAAATGGTTTATTCACAAAATCAGTAGAGGTGCTAGTACGAGAATAAGCATTGTCCGCATAAACGACAATACCCTCGTAAATGCAGACCATTCGCATCCAGAAAAATAAGGATCATCCGCATTTTCGTGAAGGATCCGGATTCCCGATCCGCGCGTTGGTGATGCGAAAAAACGGATTTCGCGATGATGCTCCATAATGCATTTTACACTTACGCAGAGACTTTCACGTTATGAACAATAAATCCTAGGGAAGACGGACAACCCATAGAAAGTATAGACGGTGAACTGGAGGTATGTTATTACGCAGAATCCGTTTTTCGCATTAATTGCCAGCACGCGGATCAGGAACCCTGTACCTGCAGAACACCGAAGAAGAAAAAACGTCCGTGAAAATTGCAGACAATCCTTATTTTTTTAGGTCGAGACTTGTCCGTGTTTACCAGGATATTTTTGTTTATGCGGACAATCTTCATTCTCAGACCAGTGCCCCTACTGAAAATGGCAATATTCCTCACATCAATTCCACTCTTAGAGAAATAACTTGGCACAAAGTACCCTGCAGGAAGTCAAGCTAGGGCCATGCAAGGACAAGTAAAAGGGCCACATCCAATCCATTGTAATTTGCAATTATAATTCTTTTTCTTTT